GTGTGAACATGGGCGTGCTTGCGGCTCTTCTTCAATCACCACATCGAGATCCTGAATGTGGGTGTGAAAATTGAAGCCAACTCGCACCCACAGCTACGCCCACACCTTCGATTCCGTAGGGGTATTCTGTTGATCTGATATATCCCTCATGAGGTAATACTAAGAGATCGTCACTATCACATCTCTGATATTGTTAAACAGACTCCTACCCTGTGTCATATTAAAGAATGTGACATAGGATAAGACTCGATAACTGTTTTGACCATATATGTCCATTCTTTCTTTTCTATGGATATATATGTTGCGTTCTTGCTAACAAGTACTTTCTTTTCCGTGTCTCTCCTTATTTCTTCCTATTATGTATATGTTAGGTATTTTCCATTCTATCTTATTCGTCGTATGCTATATAAGGATGTGTGTAAGTAAACATGAGTATGCGTATTCAAGTCACATGATAGCTTCAAATAAACGATATATACATCAACGAATATTGAACGCAACTCCCTACAATACTCCCTAAGATATTTTTAAACAATTCTTATTATCTAGTCTGGAAACTCAACAAGGGACATCTACCGGATACCAGGAATGACTTACACAGTAGTTCAAGCCCTGAGACGCTTTACTAGAGGCTAATCAGAATCCTAGGGACCAGTAGAGTCTGGTAGGGACTAGTAAGCTGTAATACGGACTAGTAAGGTCTAGTAGGGCCTGGTACCATCTATTAGATCCTAGTACTATTTAATAGATCCTAGTACTACCTACTAGACACTAGTACGTATTACTAGGACCTAGTACTACATAGTAGATGCTAGTACTACGTAGCAGGTCCTAGTCCTCTCCACTAGATCCTATTGCTTCCTAATAGGTCCTAGCACTACCTACTAGATCCTAGTACTACCTACTAGACCTTCGTACTACCTACTAGACACTAGTACTACCTATTAGAGCCTAGTACTCCCTACTAGATCCTAGTACTACAAACTAGGTCCTAGTACTACCTACTAGACCCTATTACTACATACTAGAGCCTAGTACTACAGACTAGATCCTAGTACTACAGACTAGATCCTAGTACTACGTGCTCGGTCCTAGCACTACCTACTAGGCCCTAGTAGTACTTGTTAGGTCATGAAAATCTTTTCTAAAAACGCATAGTAACTACGTAAATATATATATAGATATACATTTATATATATGTAAAATATGTTTATACATAATATACGCGTATCATATATACAATGTATGACAGTTTTTACTTAAATAATTCTGTTCCTGATTGGTATATTTATTATCTAGAAATTATAATCTGACTTTTCGAACAACAATGTTGTTATTAGTCAGAAGTGATGGTACATTTTTAAGATAGATATCTTATTTATATTATTTGTATACGTCTATTTTCTTTTCTTTTCATTTAATAGTGGTACGGAGAAGATGGTAACAGGTTGATACGATAAGGTGAAATACATATCGTCCGTACCACTATTAAATGAAAAGAAAAGAAACGTATATAAATAAGATAGACAAGATATCTATCTTAAAAATGTACCATCACTTCTGTCGAAGAATAACATTATTGTTCGAAACGGCAGGTTTTAGTTTCCAAATAATAAATATATTAATTAGAAAGAAAATTAGTTAACTGAAAATGTCTACAACCTTCATCAATCGCAAATAATGTATGAAAGTTTTGAATTACTTTTTAATTCATGTCTGGGATGAACTCATATTGGAGCTGGAGTTAGTTGATCGATCCCTAAGAGATAGGACGAAGTCGTGCTATAAAGAAGGAACCTGCCGATCTTTCTGGTGATAATATCGTTTGTGCTATTGTAAAAGTAATTCTATAAGTATACTGCTCGTGATACGTAATATACAGCTAGTAGGAGAGTTTATGAACCGTTTTGTTGGATATATCTACTATTTCTTTTGTTGCGACGAATGTAAAAAAGAAATAGATTTTCCCTCTTCAATATATCTTTCTTAAATAATCGTAGTTATACTTACCGGGTGGAATTCGTGTTCCATCCATAATAATCATAGTAACAGTGTCTACATCGAGCACGAGATTGTAATTTTGGTTTGATATGTCAGCAAACAATTCACAATTAGATGATGATTTATGAAAACTAATTGCTTTACAATGGATTTCAGCTAAACAAGCCATTTGACACTGGCGGATATTCGGCACAATAACAACGGCCAATGGTGAGCAATTTGAGTTGGAACATTGAAATTGCCAACCAGCTTTGGTAGACATGCGAAGTGATCGCATATCTTGTGTGCCGGCTTGTGTAACAAGAAGGAACAGAAGAAATAGAGAATTTCTTCTATTCGCCATAACAAACAAGAATGTTAGTTAAGAAATAAATTTAACTGCAAATGAAATGTATTGTGAAGACATAGCATTAAATACCTTTTCAGTTTCTTTCTCTTTTTCTTTTTTCTCTGTTTTTCACACATCATAGATATTTTTTTGAATCCATCAGTGCGACGGAAAACTAGTCATGAGTTATTTTTTTGTCAGGATTGTGTAGTGGAGGTTAACTTTCAACAAGTCATGCATCAAGAATAATAAATTTCTTTTGCATAGTTTATGTGCAGGCGGAAAACGAAACTACGTATATTTTAAAATCTTGTTTTATGCAGAAACAATGATCACTTCATGTGTTTATAATATGGGACCACTTTATATTAAATTCAATTCTATATGTCAATATACGAAACGCTTTATGAAATAAATCAATGAAGAGAAACTATTTTCCAGCACTCTGAAATAAGTTCAATAATTTTTCATCGTTAAAAATAATCAGTGTTTTTCCTTCGAATGAATTATATCCCGTCCAACAGAATGATATCTGTTATTTTTCTTTCTCAGTTCTACGTTGCTATGATATAAAATGTATACAGAATACAAAAGTTATTTCAAGATAATTTGATTTTCTTCACAAAGAAACGTTAGAAAAAAAAACCTTTGTGCAACGTTGTTCGTCTGTTATAATCAGAATAATGGAAGTTGTGTCGTCAAAGAAAACTGTGTATTACAAAAAAATGATGATAACAAATATCTGCTGATGTTGGAAGAAAAACATCGTTACTATGTCGTTAGGGAAAATAACAATAATGTTGATGACGTCTTTACTTTCTTCATATATTGTGTTTAACAAAAATAATACAAATATTCTTTCGAGTTTTGAATATATTGTTCATGAGTCTATGAATCCGTAAGATCTAAACTTGCGAGGAAATTCTTGAAACCTTCCTCTATATTACAACTATGAGAAATAACAAACACAGAATACATAAAATCTACATTCGGAATCTAGAGAATAAAGGGCAACCAGAATATTCCGAAAAATTTAACCAACTGGAAAACTCATATAATCTATGAACACAAAACACCAACGTCTTCTTCAATTTTGCAAGTCAACAAGAATAATTCTGAATAAATAAATACACATAAAGTTATTCATCAAGACAGGAAATAATAACATTTTTAAATTTTATTTTTTGTCAAATAAAAGAGGAAAAAGGAAAAAATTTATATACCATAAGTAATAAATATTGTAGCGGTAGGCCTTTCGAATTTTTTTCTTCTTTATCATGCTATAGTTTGAAAATGATGATGCTGTTTCATAATAAGTATTATGAAGACGTTACATTATAACTGAAGACAAAAAACTTGTAGAAATACAGTAAAAAATTGAGAGAACGGTTTAAGAAACAGAAAAGAAGAAGAAAAAAAAACTTCTTGCTGAAGAAGTATAGTTCACAATGAATAAGTGGTAATATGAAGCGATAAACCCACGTGACTAGATTTTTTTATGAAACAGGAGAAACCTTCTAAACTTACTTAACAGATACTTTTCATAGAATAATTAGGATACTCAGTGAATTGAAATAGAAACTATTCAGTCGACCATAATTCAAAACCTTTAATCAAAAAAAATACATTAAGTACCCTACAAATCTAGCTTGTAGTTGAATTGACTTTTTTTTATCATAAAGAACTACTCATAACTAAAGTTTTTATGTATGAGAAATTGTAGTTTCTATATAAATCATCATTTTATTCATAATCGACTTCTATTGGTATTGTTTTTAAACATTTGTTATTATTTTGGATTCATTATTGGACAATTTTTTTAACATCAAAATTTATTTTTACTTGAATACAATAGATCATTGGTTCTAGAACATAATATTATTTATAACAATCATATAAATCGGACATAATAAATTATTTGATATTCTTTTATAAATATTGACACACGCTTATGAACAATATTAAAAAGACATATATTTCATTTTATTAATTAACAAATAATGTTATCAAAAACAAGGAATTATGATAGTCATTAATTGATATTAGTGTGTGACGATTCTACTGTATAACGTCGAACGATAAATTGCCGAAAGAAACAATGTCGAAAGTAAAATTGTCGAAAGAAATAATATTAAAAATAAAAATCTCGAAAAACTAAAATGTAGCAAAAAAAAGGAAATCTGAGATGAGTTTGGGGGTGTAAGGTGTGGGTTTGACTTTATGGATATTGGTGTGAGTGTTAGATGAAAATCATATTCAGTTAAACCCACATCCCAGTAGCCACACCCACACCCACCCTTCGATGAATAAAGTTTAAACAAGATGAATAAATAATCTTATTAATTGAAAGGACAAAAGATATTTGAAAACGAATAGAGACGATCGTAAACGACTATATACGACGATGAATACGATCGTTTACTAGAACATACTCTCGTATACAACGTCGGTATTTTTCTGCATTTATCCGTATACAGCCACGGAGATATACAGTCGTAATACGGCCTCAGTTAATACGGAGCAATACGGTCGTATACGGTATCGTATCCGACCGTTTACGAACTTCGCAATAGTCGACCTGGGTGCACATTCGCACATTGCGATTCAATAATATTAATACTACTAATTCTGGTGATAGGAGTTATCCTAGTGATATTAATGATGCCGACAAATTTATGATAATGCCACCACTCTATAGTCCTAAAGGTTTGATCGGATGCCCATATAGAAAGGTGTTTGAAGACAAAATGAAAGAATTCGAATTACTTCATCTTATTACAGAATGTTTTGGTTTCTATCGTACCAAAATTCTGATCCCAGTACTAAAGAAAATAAATTCATGTTAGCGTCAACGGTTATGACATCATGACGCTATACCGTATATATATATATATATATATTCTCTTTCTTTCCTTTTATGATCATCCGGTTCTCATGAACATGTTCATGATTATTTCCTTCTCTCTCTTTCTATTCTTCTCTCTAGTTTGTTTTCTCTTTATATCTCTGTTATATATAAAGAGGTGTTTTCTTCATGTAACACCAGTGTTTCTTGTTTTCCCTTTTTGTTTGTCTTTGTTTATATTCAATAAACAAAGTCTTTATCGACATCATTCCCATCTTTACTCTTTATATATTTATAGGATACGGTAGGCTTGATTTTCCCTAGGGAGATTTCACTTTAACCTTACAAATACCTTGTAGGTTAAAGTACATTCATATACCCCAGAACGAGAACCACACAATTCAAACAATTCTACAAGTGTGAAACTCAAATCATGGGAAGATTGCATGAACCAATTCGATCGTACAATCCTTGTTCAAGTTGCCGCGCAGACTGGCATTTCAGAAGCTGTGTACTCTACACTTCATGACCTTCGTCAACTACGCAATAAACTATGCCATGCACAACTAATTTCAAGAAAAAATGTCAACGAACTTAAAACACGTGCAAATGAGTTCACAGTTTTCCAGAAACGACAACAAGACGGATCAAAGTATTCCTTAGCAGTGGCAGAATTAGCGGATAAGTTACTGGTCTTACCTGAAGAAAGCTTCTTCCGGAAAAAGACTTTGTACTGATTAATTTCAGACAATCATAAAAACTGTAAACCTATTGAATTTTTTCGACACATTTTATTAACTAATTTTTACACTTTTTCATTATGTTTAATTTTTTTTAGATGAATTCGCTGCCGCACTCCTCTTTGCATTTTAGTTATACAAGTCCAACTAAACATGTCAAACCAGAATTAAATGACAGTAAACGTCAAAAACAACAAACTCTATGTGTGGAACTTTCATCCTTTTTATTCGACATATTTTGCCAAAGAGTCGTTTTGCCAAAATTATCAGGCGAACATGATTGGTTTTTCCATGTTCGAGACATTCTTCATCGTGCATATATGAAAAAAGAACTTACTGAAAATGAGCAAAATTTGGTTGAAAAAGTTGAGCAAGAGGCCATTTCTAAATACTTTACTACCGATCAACGGCGTTGTCTACTTAATTTAAATGTGAGTATGGGCGAGCCATGTAGCCACCACTCAATGGATCCAGATGAACTATCAAAAGAAGTAAAAAATCTTGCGTCAGAATGGCTTGAAGGTGATGCACGACAAACTGTAGAAGCACTTATCAAAGCTATGCAGAATTCTATACCATTAAATAAATCCAAATGAACTAAGATAGATGTGGAATAAATAAATTTCTGTTTTCTTCTATTTATGAAATTTTGTCTTCTTGATTTTGTTTTTCATTATATTTTGAACATTGTGAAAACTACTCGGCAATCATCACAATATTTTTTGCTATCTTTCTTCTATTTTCTAAATCTCGACAATTTATTAAAAAGAAATCATTTTTTATCATTAAAATGAAAATGTGTCATGTAGATTAGTTATCCTTTTGATTTTCTCCGATGAATTAAAAACAAAAGAAAAAAGTTATTTTAATCTTGTGGATGAAGAAAAGAAATCTGATCATCATTTCAAATATTTTTATTTAAAAAGAGAAGATTTGTGTTCATTGAATTGAAATCAATCGATGTCTCACAGACGGACAGGACGGATAAAGAGAAAAATTATTCAATCTGATTTTTTAACAAAATCTTATCTTGATTAATTTATATTTCATATTAATCATCATTATCATCGGACGACAATCGATTCTAGCAGAATTCATCGACAAATACTTTTCGCTTTAGAAATATTTTCTTTTTTTTATCTTCACATTTGAGATTTTAGGTGATGCACATCTTTATAATTATGATCAAATCAATACTGAAGATATGTTTTACGTCTTATGATAAAAATAATTAACTTCTTCATGAAATATTTTGATGTCGAATGAGGATGAAGGTGTGAATAAACATATAGAGATATTTATTATTAAAACTGTGAAAAGACTAAAATTAACGTTGTTTGTTGTTCTTGTCAAAAGTGTAAAATCTGGTTGAAAATCTTTTTCATTTTTTCGAAAATAAATTCATAATAGAAATTGTGAGAATAAATGGAACGATGATAAGACGAAATTTTCATTGGAGTTTTTCTTCATATGAACACAATAGAAGAATCTCAAGTCTTTTATTATTGACAAATTGAACATCTTTATATTGTGATGAGAAAAAATCCACAAAAAATATGGCTAATGTTTATTTTCGTGTAGATTTTTATTATTAAAAACCAATTGATCTAAGAATCTTTTTAGTTCACTGAATAATAAACAAATCTTGATGATAATTATCAAATATTTTTAATGATTTAAATGATTTTCTTACGAACCTTTGTTTAACCAAAATTATTCTTTCTTCTTCTTGTTTTTATGTCAAATATTTGAGCTTGGATGTTGCCTACATATTTAATTCTTCGACTGAAAATAAATTTGTGGATGTGACTCTCTTCTTCACCCGCGCTCAACATCAAAATTTCTAATTCTTTCAAATGATTATCAACAAATCTATTTCATTTCATTTTCGAACATCTTTAGTTATTCGAATAAATCTCAGTAGTGCTTGTAAAATTAAGAGTTTAAAGCAATTAGCATTCCATTTGATTATCAAGTTATAATTTAGTAATTTCTCATAATATAGATTTATCAAAACAAAAAACTATATTTTCTTTAATAATTGATGCAATTATTTATTTTGAATACAAAGTAATATGACTCTGATATATATATTTACCTTTTTCTAATGTCTATAATTACATTCATCAGTTGACTTACAATATAACAAAATAGTTCAAGCCATGTGCTGTGGGAATGTTATTAGTACCCTCTCTCAAATAATAAAGGACATAGCCTTTTTTTAAAGTGATCGAATGATTTTATGCAAATTATGACTCATTTTTTTGAACTTACGGTTTATTCGATACGAAAATAGATGATTAACCTATGTATTTGCGTTGTCATCGAAAACACCCTTTTTAAAACGTTTTAAGTGAAGAAAAATATGTTTCAATTGACTGAAGCAATTTATTCTCTCGTTTTTTTTTCTTGTGATTTTTTTTACAAAAGAAAAAAGAAGGAGAAAGGAAGAAAAAAAATAACACGTTGAATTTATGAAATTATATAGTAAGAAAAAAATATAACTTTTACTCTTTCAAGTGCCATCGGCAATAAAAAAAGAAATTTGAACTAAATGAATGTTCAAACACTAAGTCTTACTCTTCCGAGTAGTCAAAGTAATCAAAAACCACATGTACATCATTTCCCATTAAACAATCAACGACATCATCCAACATTATCATCGCACAATGTACAATCAACAACTACAGGGAACAGTCTTAAACCTAGACCTTATCATTTAAATGATTTTGCAAATAATCAATTCTTTATTGCTAAACGTAAAATTGATGAAGCTTTTCGTGGACAACAACCACAACTAAGAAATGCTCGATCAACCAATGATCTTTTGAATTTATTTGATCAACATACAAGTAGATCTAAACGACAGGTTAATCTTTATTAATTTAAAATAAATATTTATTCTTCTATATTTTGTTTTAGGAAAATAAAATCAACAAAACTTCATCATTTGATAAAGATAATCATGTATCTGTTGTCAATCTTCATGTGAGTCCGCCATCTTCAATAACACAACCTCATGATCAATCATCAAAAGGACTTATTCGACCTTATGAAGTCTGGAGTGGTGTTAAAAATCCATTTGCAAAATAATATATGTACTTGCAAAAACAATACTATTCTGTATCTTTTTTTTTCTGCATATATTATATAAAATTAATTCAAGAAATTTATAAACTTCTTAAATATATAGATAGAATGTTAGCGCTAAAATAAAATCAATTATGAAATCAAAGAAAAGAGCTGAAATTCGTGATATACAATCGAAAGAAGAATGGGATGTAATGTTAAGTAAAGAAGGCTTAAAATAAGTTTTTTCTTATTCAATATATTTTAATCTTATTTCAATCTTATTTTACAGTCATTGATGTTTATCAAGAATGGGCAGGCCCAACAGTTGTATTAGAAGATATATTTCTTCAACTTAAACGTACTTTAACACAAACAGAATATTTAACATTCTATTCTGCTAATTGTGAAAATATTGAAACGCTTGAACGTTATCGTGGTTATTGTGAACCATTATTACTTTTTTTTGGAGTATATTTATCTTACAGTTCAATAGAATAAGAATATCTTTTTTTAGAATAACACTCTAGTGTATATACAACATCATGTAAATGTACCAAATATAGAAAAAGCTATTGAAGAACAACTGACGAATGAATTACAAGTAATAAAAGGAAATTCTAAACGAGAACCTGTAAGTTAAGAAATATATGATTTTATAAGAATCATTACTGTGGTTTTTGTAGTTTAATGATTCGGAATATAATAGTATTCAACAAACAACTGGATCGATTACATCTGAACCTATGTGTAAAAATATTCGATAATATTCTTTCTAATTTTCAAATATATGTAGTATATAAAGGTGAATCATCAAGTTTACGAAGTTTATTAATGAAAACAGCTGAAAAAATTGATCAAGATTATTGGCTTAATTCAGGTAGTTTTTAATTTAATAGAATTTTATGAATTTTAATATTTATTTTTTAAGAATCATATAAATTAGGTGTTGCACTTTTTGTTATAAAACCTGATCTTGTTGCTGATGGAAAAAAAGATCAAATTCTTGATTATGTAAATAAAATAAATGAAAGATTATAAATGAATCATATATTAAATTTTTATAGTTACGTAATAAAGGATTTATCATTCACATAAATGTCGATAAATTATTGAATAATGAAGATATAATTAAAATTTTCAAACCGGTACATCTATATAATGAATTTGATCGTTTTATGTCAAGTGGTCCAAGTACTTATGCAATAGTATCGAAAGGTTTTACAGGACGATCAACATCAGATGATCTTCGATATATTATTGGTCCTCATGATCCGGATATAGCTAAAGAAACTAATCCTGAATCATTAACTGCTATCTATGGAACGGATGTTCTTTTAAATGGCTTTTACTCAAGTAGTAACAATAATGAAGCATTAAAGTTGAAATTTTCGAAAGAATTTAAACTTAATTAATATGCATACAATTTCTATAGAGAAATTCATATTGTTTTTCCTGAATATCAACATCCTATAATCGAAGGAAAACCTATTGATGAATATATTCATAAAACAGCAACATTATGTCTTCTTGGACCTGTTCAAGTACGAATGAAAAAAGGTAAACATCTGATTGTATACAAAATCACTAATTTTTATCATATAGAAGCTATTATTCAAGCCATTATTCAACGTGGATTTGAAGTACGTTATGAAAAAGTTTATATGTTTCGACCCGATGAACTTGAATCATTATATATTAAATATCGTAATGAAGAATTTTTTAGAACATTAATTGAAGCTTATACAATGTAAGAAACAAATTTAATATTCGATTTATTTGAATAAATATTTAATAGTGGTCCATGTTTATTGCTCTATGTAGCTAAAGAAAATTGTGTTGCAGATTTTTGTGAATTTCTTGGACCATTTTCACGTGAAGAATTCAGTAAAATGCCTGGAACGTAAAGCTTATTTTATTTACCAAGATGAAAATATTCTATAACTTTATTAATTAGACTTCGACACGATTTTGATGAACCAACAGTACCTGTGGTAAAAAAAAAGTTTTCTTTTAATTAATGATAAAACCTATCAATATAGACGACAATTCATGGTTCAGAAAGTATTATTGATGCACGAAAAGAACTTGAACAATTTTTTCCATACCAACAAACACTAACTATTATTAAACCAGGTTTAACATCCATTCAAAAAGGTCTAATAATAAATTTTCAAAATATTCTTTCTATACACAACTATTTAAATTTAGATGATATTCTTAAGAGATTAAATTTAAATGGTTTTATAATTATGATTAAAGAAACAAGACATTTAACAAAAGATATTCTTACTCAATTCTATGCTCGACATCAAGGTTTACCTTGGTTTAATGATTTTATTCAATTTATGAGCAGGTTAATTGATCTATATCGTATTTTAATACTATTCATCCTTGATTTTCCAGTGATGTTTGTGAAGTAATAATTCTTGCACGAGAAAATGCTGGTAAGAAATTTCATCACATTCAGTTTTTGTCTTCAAATTTATTCTGAATAGTTCAAGCTTTACGTGAAATTATGGGTCCTGTTGATCCTGTACGTGCGAAAACTGATGCACCGGAATCGTAAATTATTTGAATTTAGAAATCCAATCATAATTTTTCTTTTTTTTCTATCAATTAAAGAATTCGAGCAATTTACGGTTTAGATATAATGCGTAATGGTTTACATGCATCATCGAATAATAAACATGCACGTGAAGAAATTCGTTTACTTTTTCCTGATTATGAATTTATTAAAAATAGACCAATACCATTTCAATCAAATATTTTATCAACAGTTGATACTTCAGTCATTTCGAATGAGAATAATTATGGTATGATAATAGAAATTATGTATGAGATTACTGTAAATACATGCTTAAATAATAATGAAAATGATGAATCAGCTGTTTTTATTACATTAATTGGAAATAAAGCTGAAACAAAAAAATTTCTTTTACAATTTGCTGATAATACAATTCATACTTTACAATCAAATCAAACTGATATATTCCATTTTATTGATCAAGATATTGGTAGTGTAAGTGTGAAGTAATAGAAGACGAACTGAAAAAAAATTATTTTTTTATTTTAGCCAAAATATATTCAATTATTTCATGATGGACGAGGATTTCCGAAAAATTGGATTTTAACAAGTATCGAAGTCATAATCTCAAATCGAAATAAAATATTCAAGTATACTAAAACATTACCTATTAAATATAAAATTATTTCAAATGAATTTAGATTCGATATTAATGAATTAATCGATGAAGAAAATACAAAAATCAATTATTCAGTAACTGATATTAAAGATATTGAAAGTGTTGGTAATGGTAATTGTGCTATTATTATACAAACAGGCAATGCTAAATATGCTGGTACATTCGCTGATTGCAGGTATGAAGAAATTATAACATATTCTATTTCGATATATTTTTTTCTAGTATACTCTTATCGGGTTCACAAGGTGTTTATGCATTTCAACTTCGTAAATCATTAACAAATCGAATACCATTTCAAAATCGATATCGTGATATATTTCTTGTTGAAGTTGATGAACAACTGAAACAAATTGAATATATTGTACTTGAACATAATAATGAAAATTCTTCACCTGCTTGGTTTGTTGATTTTGTAGTTATTAAACTAATGAATAATCAACAAGAATATTTGTATTTATTAATATGAAACTACTATAATATTAAAAAAGTATTCTTTAAGTTTTTCTGTTGATCGATGGCTTTCGATGGATTATTATGATGGTAAAACAAAAATTATACTTTCAACAGATAATGAAAAATTATCATATAATGAAATAGATCTATTAGAAAATCGATCGAATAGTAAGTTTAATTATGAATAGGAAATATTTTATTGTATATAGTTATTCGATATGAGATTCATATTGTAACGGGTGTAATGCCTCAAGCTGCAACGAATTGTCCCGTTTGGTTAACAATTAATGGAACAAGAGGAACAATTATCAATAAATATCTTGAAATTTCTCAAAATGAATTATTTCCATTTGAACCTGATAATCATGATTTATTTATTTTCTATGATGTCGATGTTGGCGAAGTATGTTAAAATAAAATATTTAATTAATTTTTAAATTGCATCTTAGATTGATAAAATCATATTAGGACATGAGAGTATGTATGCTGAACAAGGCTGGTTTATTCAAACAATATCAATACATGTACCATCGAAACAATTTCAGAGTGATAGATTTAAAATTAATAAATGGTTAAATTCAAAACGAATAGATAGTGTACCATTAATTGAAATTCAAATACGAAAACCTATCAAATGTAATAGCAAAGAATAGTCTATTGAATGATCTATGCTCTGTCTTCTTGATAGTAAATCGAAATCTAAAGCATCAACAGCCAATCTCTAGTACAACATTAGCTTCAATTCATGATTTAGAATGCTCCTATACTGTCTATATTTTAACTGAAGATTTTCAAACCGATATGAATAAACCTGGTATTTTTATTGATTTGCTGATTGATGAAACAATATCAACTGATTATATGAGATTAACGACTGATGAGACAATTCGTGAACATTTAGAAAATAATACTTTAGGAAGATTTAAATTAAATGGAAAAAAAATTGAAAAAGTATGATCTTTTAAAACTACATTCTGTAAATTGTATAAATTGATATTTTTTTCAGATCAATACAATAAATCTTCTCATTCGTATGTTCAAATAAATTTTTAGTAAACTAATGTGTTTGATATTTCAAGGTGCACCCGATCAAATAACATATTGGTTACCTCGTTATATTCTTATCGTTATCGATGATACTCAAGAAATATTTCAGTAAGAAATATTTACTAAATCAATTGATTTATTATAAAATGGAGAATATTTCTTAAGATTTAACAATTCAAAATCGCTTCATTATTCAAATAGAGATAAATTCGATGCAATTACCATTCGATTAGATGCAACTCCTATAGAATTATCACAAGAAATCGAAGAACAATTGGAAAATATTAAACAACTCTATATAAATGAAACTGGAAAAACTGTTATTGATAAACGAGATGCAATTTTATATGAAGAATGATCATTTTAGTAGTGTATAATTAAGATTGTATCTTTAATTTGGCAAAGAATAATAAGAAAAATATTGTTTTTATTCGTGATGCATTCGATCATTTTTTTTCTATATGATAAAAAATATTTGCTTTTGTTAACCATCTGTTCAAACAATCAATATATCTTTGTTAATTTGAATGAAACTAAAACACTAGCGTCATCTATCAAAATAATTCAAATAATTCATTTTATTTTAGATCTTTTATTTTAAAAACATTTTTTCTTTCAATTTCTAACATTATTTCATTTAAATCATCTTCTTTTAATATCCTCTATTAAAACAAAGATAAAAAAGCTAGTATAGAGAATCTATCCTCATTAATGGCCTCGGCCATTGTGTTCTATTCTATTCTGTCTGTGTGTATGTATGTTGGCTGCCTTCATCATCATCATGTATGTTGTTTTTTTTAATTTCATATTTTAGTTTTTACTTTTTCTTCAATTTTTCTTTCTTCTAGTTCGTCGAATGTGAGCCTCTATTATAAAAAAAAATTTTGTGTCGCTTAATCGTTCATTGACAAAAATCTGTTTTTAAAACAATTTCTAATCAAATCTATCTACAATGTTTCTTCCACCAATTGGTCAACCACCTGTATCATCATCATTACATGTTAATGAAACTATTAATGGAACAAATATGATTAATACAAGTACAAGTTCCTCAGGTTCATCAACATCAAATACAATGGGTCTTCCAGGTCCTCCTCATATGACATCCATGCCATCGACACCACCTGGAAGTGGTATAATGACAATGCTTAATCCTCCACTTGATTTATCACCTCCTCCACGACCAGATTTTGGTCGTGAAGGTCGCTCAATAAAATTACGTGCAAATCATTTTTCAATTCGTATACCTCCAATACTTATTCAACATTATGATCTTAATATTCAACCAGATAAATGTCCAAAACGTGTTAATCGTGAAATAATTGATACAATGGTTAATAAATTTCAAAATATATTCAATACTCAACATCCAGCATTTGATGGAAAACGAAATTTATATACAAAAGATCCATTACCATTTGGTCGGGAACGTATTGAACTTGAAGTTACTTTACCAGGTCCGGGCGAAGGACGTGATCGTTGTTTCAAAGTACAAATTAAATGGGTTGCACAAGTTAGTTTAGTTAGTTTACAAGAAGCTTTACAAGGACATGGACCACCTGTACCCAATGAAGCTGTTCAAGCACTTGATGTTATTATGAGACATTTACCGAGTATGAAGTAAGTATTCTTATAAAATCAAAATTTAGTCTATTTTTTCTACTTTTTTATTATACTAAGAACTCATAGGTAGTAAGTCATCAAGCTTCTATATTGACTTGAAATTCGACAAAAGATTTTAAATATAAAATTGATTGAAATCTTTTTTTATTTAGATATACACCAGTTGGTCGATCATTTTTCTCTCCACCAGATGTTCAATATAATCCATTGGGTGGTGGTCGAGAAGTATGGTTTGGTTTTCATCAATCTGTTCGTCCATCATATTGGCGAATGTCATTAAATATTGATGGTAAATTATTTAATTGATTGAAGAATTTCAATACGATTTTATTATTTATTTTTAGTTAGTGCTACTGCTTTTTATAAATCGCAACCCGTCATTGATTTTATGTGTGAAGTACTTGATATTCGCGATATTCAAGATCAACGACGTCCATTGAATGATGCACAACGAGTTAAATTTACAAAAGAAATTAAAGGTTTGTAATTATCTTATACATAGAATCAAACTATCGTCTATGTATGCTATTTGTCAAGAACATAAAAGTATATTCTATATGACAAGTTGATAGTAGCTTATAGATTATGATCAATATCGTGTCTATTGAAAGAATTACTTTAAGTGGTTATTTTCGATTTCAAAGATATTATATTTACTCGTTCGTATCTCAATGATCAAACTGAATATTTGATTTAGGTCTCAAAATTGAAATAACTCATTGTGGTAATATGAAACGTAAATATCGTGTTTGTAATGTTACACGAAAACCTGCACAATATCAAACGTAAGTTTATTATTTGCTTATAATGAATAGTTTCCTAATTCAATTTATTCATTTAGTTTTCCTCTTCAACTTGAAAGTGGTCAAACAGTTGAATGTACTGTTGCTAAATATTTCTATGAGAAACATCATATGAAACTTCAATATCCTCATTTACCATGTTTACAAGTTGGTCAAGAACAAAAGCATACTTATCTACCACTTGAAGTATATAAGAATCTTCATCGAAATTTTGTTTTCTTAAAAAAGAGGATTTTATTTATTTAGGTTTGTAATATTGTTCCTGGACAACGATGTATCAAAAAATTAACTGATATGCAAACATCAACAATGATTAAAGTACGTATTGAATCCTATTTTCAAATCTCATTTGAGATTTTACTATTGCGAATATTCATGTGTATATATATTTTGTAGTGGAGTGAGGTAGAGTGTTGTTATTATTATTCTTTTCATTTTGTATAAATATTGAATAAGCATGATTCTTATCTTTGGAATGAACTTCTACATAAATATTGAGATCGTTCCTATCTATATGTTATTGTAGAGTCAACCAGATTCACCTCAGGTAAAAATTCAATTTTTACACATATGCACTGTCTTTATTCGCGTGCGCGAACAGACGTTTTGTTCTTTTTTCTTTGTCTAAGTAATAAATTCGTATGAGCACATGCGTAAATATAACTGCTGTTTTTGTTTGGGATGAATTTAAAAACAAAAATCAATGTTTTAATTGGCTAAGATCTTATAATAATTGTTTTTCTTTTGTTAATGACAATAACATAGATAGGAACGAATTATAATAATGTAAATCTGAACTGAGATATACGGGCTATTTAACAAAACAATCAGCACGACTCTTTGATCTTCTTTGTCATGCAAAATATTCAATTTCTTATAAGAAAAACGTTTTTTCTAAGATATTATTTTCGATTTTATTTTAGGCGACTGCAAGATCAGCACCTGATCGAGAAAAAGAAATTAATAATTTGGTAAGTTTTAATCATATTAAAATTTAAAAGCGTTTGATTTAAGCAAAACAGAAAAAAAAGTATTTCTCAATTGGCGACAATGAATTCGTTCATTTTTTTCAGTAGATAATTAAATCTCTTGTTTAGGTACGCAAAGCTGAATTTAATAATGATGTTTATGTTACTCATTTCGGAATTAATATTTTAACTAATATGACAGAAGTTGTTGGTCGAGTATTAAATGCACCCAAAATCCAATATGGCGGTCGTGTAAGTAACAATGTATAAGATGTCTTTTTTCTTTTTACCCTATTCTAACTCTATTTTTTCAAGACTAAAGTTATTGTCACACCAAATCAAGGTGTATGGGATATGCGTGGTAAACAATTTCATACAGGTATTGAAATTCGTACATGGGCAATAGCATGTTTTGCACCTCAACGTAATTGTAATGAAGCTTCATTACGTACATTTACTCAACAATTACAACGAATATCAAATGATGCTGGTATGCCAATTGTTGGTCAACCATGTTTTTGCAAATATGCAACTGGTATTGAACAAGTTGAACCAATGTTTAAATTTCTTAAAACAACATATAATGGTCTTCAATTAATTGTTGTTGTTTTACCTGGTAAAACACCTGTTTATGCTGAAGTAAAACGTGTTGGTGATACATTAATTGGTTTAGCAACACAATGTGTACAAGCTAAAAATGTTAATAAAACAACACCACAAACATTATCAAATTTATGTTTAAAAATTAATGTTAAATTAGGTGGTGTTAATAATATTCTTGTACCAAGTGTACGACCTATAAGTGTTTTTCGTGAACCGGTTATTTTTATTGGTGCTGATGTAACACATCCACCAGCTGGTGATCGATCAAAACCATCTATTGCTGCTGTAAGTATTAAAATTATTCGTCAATGAATTATTTTTTATTTATTTTATAAAATTAAATAGGTTGTTGGATCCATGGATGCACATCCATCACGATATGCAGCTACTGTTCGTATACAAATGCATCGTCATGAAGTTATTGCAGAATTATCAACAATGGTTAGAGAATTACTTATACAATTTTATAAATCAACACGTTTTAAACCAGCAAGAATTATTTTATATCGTGATGGTGTTAGTGAAGGTCAATTTGCTCATGTACTTGCACATGAATTAATGGCTGTACGTGAAGCATGTGTTCGACTTGAAGCATCTTATCAACCGGGTATTACATTTATCGTAGTACAAAAACGTCATCATACACGTCTTTTTTGTTCTGATAAAAAGGAGCAGGTAATTATACAAATAAATCTATTCTTTCATGACAAACATGAGTCTTAGTATATATTAGGGTGGTAAGAAATATAAACTCAATATGACTTCTTTATTCATTATCTTATACTAATCATTTTCAAATAACATGCGCCCTTTCTTTCATGATTTTTCCCTAAAGAAAACAAAATATTATGAAAAGCCCACTAATTTTTAATAAAAAATATTTTATTCTTTAAGTACGAGTACGCGTACTTCGAGTATTTTGCCTACCTTTGCTTCTTTCCGAACATACTTTTATAATATCCATAAGATAAAATCTAACTAGAAAAACTATATACGCACTTAATATTTTTTCATAGAAGACTATTAGGTATAAATTTATCCTACGTCATATTAGTCCTTGAAGTTTATTAAGGATGTACTTTTATCATACAGTCATAGGTATGGTATGACTGTTCGCTTGATGTTATTTATACGAAAAATATTATTTTTCTCACCTTCGAATTGATTTACGTCATAACTTTTGATTATCTATAATTATGTCTACCTACGTCATTACCTTTTCTTGCATTATAGCTTTCCTTGAATTATCACGGTATATAGATTGAACTATTCTATTTGATTTTTTTCAATATAATAAATATATTATTTATTTAATAAATTTAATTAAATTTTTAGTGTGGTAAAAGTGGTAATATTCCACCTGGTACAACTGTTGATGTTGCTATAACACATCCAACTGAATACGATTTTTATTTATGTTCTCATGCTGGTATACAAGGTACATCTCGTCCATCACATTATCATGTTTTATGGGATGATAATCATTTTTCTGCTGATGAATTACAAGCATTAACATATCAATTATGTCATACATATGTACGATGTACACGTTCGGTATCTATACCAGCTCCAGCTTACTATGCTCATCTTGTTGCATTTCGTGCACGATATCATTTAATTGAAAGGGAACCTGAAAGGTAAAATTTTCGTTGGGAAATAAAAAATCTTAATTTATTTATGAAATTTTAGTAATGAAGGTTCACATCAATCGTCAAATGGTGATTCCAATGGTCAACAACAAATTCAATTGAGTCGTGCTGTTACTGTACATCCTGATTCGGCTCAAGTTATGTATTTTGCTTAATTTATAAACATAAACAATGAATATTCTTTATCCTAAGACATGCTCATCATATCTATTCTATCTACAATGCTAGATCAATTTCTTTTTTTCTCTCTGTCTCTCTTGTTTTTATCTCAATAGATCAATTCAATGTGTGTTCTCGTGTAATTGTATCTCTTCTTGTCGCAATCTGCCGCAAAAAAAATCAACGTTTTTTTTTTGTTCTTTTCTTTGTCTCGTCCATGCTGATCTCCTGTATATATTTCAATCTTTAATTCTCTCTCTCTCTATGGTCTCCTCTTTTATGCGCGCAATCGGGGTTGCAATAGAGGTGCTATTAGCTCTCTACCCTTGCCCATCCTTTCTTTAAAATAATCAATGACTACTATTCATTGTAGTTATATTCACAACAGTGCAATGATATACATATACATATATACATACATATATATATATATATACACACACACAGACACACATATATATGAATTTTCTTATTAAAAGAAAAAAGCCAAAACGTTCAGTGTTATGTTTGCACTACTTTTTCAAATCTCTTATTTGTCTTTGTGTTTATTTGTGTCGTGTAACAGTGTATATAATTTACCATCTTGTTTCTTTTTCTCAGTGATGGGGCGCGAACATTCCCAAATATGTCACTCTGTTTCGTTAAACGTAGTGCTATTCTTCAACAGTGTGTGTGCGTATTTTTGAATTTTGTCGTCGTCAATTTCCCGTCCTTGATTTACTTAATTGCAATAACGAATGATTTATAACCAAAAAAAAAAACCTAAAATAACAAGATCAACGTTTTTCTTCCTCATCTATCTCTTTAATATTTAATGCAAAGGAATAATCTTTTTTTTTGTTCATTCATTCTCTTATCGTATCTATCTGTGTGTAGAAAAACTAAATAATAATCTTTTTTTTCTTCTCTTCTTTTTTGTTGCGTTTCTTTTTACTCATTCATACATCGATCCGCTTTCCGAATGACAAACAAAAATTATTCTTCTTCTTCTTCTCAATACACATATGTATTTGTAACTTCAAACGCATGTGTATTTTTTTTTCTCTTTCATTTATGCTCGCAAATGGATAGAAAAAAAATATAAATTGAGACAAAATTATGTATGTGTGTGTCTGTGTGTTAAACAAACGAGATGAAAAACATGATTCTGTCTGTATGTTTTTTTTTTCTCATCGCCGTATGTGTGCGTGTGTAACAAAATGAATTAATGTGAATGTGCCTCTCTTTTTTTTTTTTGTTCTTTGTTCTTTTCACTATTTCATTCATTATTTCCTTTGTTGTTCTGATAACAAAGCGTACCAATGATATACTTAATTCGACTTATTCAATCATAGTGTATACTAAATAATATTCAAGAAAATCTTTAAAAAAAAAACGTAGTCTTTTATTTTATTTGAGTTTATATGAAGGTTTACAAAATCAATGAAGAAGTTAATAATATTATGGTGATAATTGATGCGAAAAGAAAATGTTTTTTGCTTTTGAATATAATAAAGCGTTGGAGAGAAAGAGAAAAACATACTTGCAAAAGTAGTCTGAAGGTCACAAGTCCTGTTCTCTTCTTTTTTTACACAAGCAGACAGTTAGTCATCAAGTGACAAGGTTGTAACCAATCGTAAAATGAAAACACTAATATTTATATTAAAGAGAGAATCTCGAATATTTTTCCTTCAATTAAATATGGTAAGGTAAATCAAAAATTTTTTCTATGAAATAAATTCATGAAATATCTAATTGATATTTTTGTACTAACACAACATTTGAGGTCATGATTCTATAACAACTAGTAAATATTATTCATAATTCGATTTGTTCAATTACAAAATAATATATATTTTTGATACTAATTTCGTCAATTATTTGAATGTCATCTATTGATAAATTTATCAACTGATAAGACTATCAAATGTAAAGCTTATTGTTATCCTACTTTACGTTCTATAAATAATATATAGCTTAAAAGAAAAGCTTTTTTTGTGTGCACTGTAATGACAAACAGTCTGTTCTATAAAGTATACCGGTACTGGTAACCTTTGCTTTCAGAGAAGAAAAAAGAAAAAGAATCGTGTGTTATAAGACGAAGAGGTAATGGTAACTACTGTCATTAGAAATAGAATACATAATCAACTACAACAATAAGTAATTAACTTTTTATTTATATTCTGACTAGGAAGTAGTAGGAGCAGTGGCGGATCTAGCTATTCGGCGACTGTCACTCCCTCGAAAATAGATACCTCGGTAAATACTGAAAACAGGTAGAATACTATAGGTTTCTCTCGTAAAAAATAATACGACTTCCCACTTTTTTTTTATTGATAAAAAAATAAAGCATAAGACATTTTTGAAATAATTTAGATAATTGAATTATATAAAAAAGAAGTATGTCCATTCTATTTTTATAATTAAAGATGATCTGTAAAAGGCAGTAGCTTTTAATATATTTCCATTTTCTTTTAACTCAAATATTTATAAATAGAATATGACATGAGAATAATAACTTTAATAGTCAGATGTAGCAATGTTATTTCTAAATCTGTCGCTAAATAAAATACAGATGATAAAATGACATCTATTATAATAAAATAAAATATATTTCCAATATCAAGTAATAAAAAATAGTTTATATATTTATTATGTACAATCAAAAAAAGTAGATTAGTAAGAAATAATTAATCTGTTTTTTTCTTTCTTTCTCGCAAAAAAGTGTTACGCAGTCATACAGTTGTTATAGTTATAAGTTTCTTTTCATAGAAGTCAATGGGTATACGCGTACTTTTTACGCGTTCTATCATCATTCATATGCGCATTCAACGCACATTCATTTCGAATATGGATGATATATACAATAACAGGTTGGCTCACTTACTTTACATATTACTACATTTTTTTTTTCGTAAGTTGTATATAAATAACATAGTTGTTTAAAGATAAGTAAATATTTAAAAGACTACGAAAACTATTTTATTCGAAGGACTTATTATTTCCAACATAGGTAAGTTTTCTATACAATATTATATAAGTAGGACTAGTTCATATATATGGACTGAAAGTAGAAATTTTTTATTAATGTCAAATGTAGGCAATACACTGATTCATAATAAAACGACTAGTTATTTATAGAAACAGAAAAATCATCATTCTTCTTTTCGTTGAGTACTGGACTTTAATGTTTCATGACATACAGATTGCTTTTTTTTTGTCCTTAAAAAACATTTTCGATGAATTTTTTTTTTTATGTCAGTTTTGTTAAAGAAGAAAAAAAAGATATAAGAAATTCTGTAAGTTTGTTATTTGTTTCTTTCTCGTTTTTTTTTCTTTTTCTTTTGCTCGTTTTCAGACGATGTAAATAATTAATCGTCACATGTGCGTTGCATACATGCGTTCGAGTCCATCGTTACCCACGAACTCTACTGATGTAGTTATATAAAAAAATGGCCTTAACGTCCTCATATGACCTCCTTTTTTCTATTCTTTCATTCTCTTTCTGTTTCTGTTTCGTTCTCTTTCTTGCTTTTTACGACGATGTCTGTTCCTATCATGCTCTACCATCCTTCTCGCTCGTTTGTCAGTTTTTCCTTTACTGGGCTATTCTACGGTTAATGCATCTACCTTGGTGACTACATTCATAGATTCGAAAAAAAAATGCATACATTTATTATCTCCTTCATAGGTATATTTTTCGAATCGATCAAAATGATTGAGAGCATTCTTCTTCTTTTTTTTTTTTCGTTTTTTCTTTTGGCTAGAAAAAAAGAGTGATTTAAAATTTCGTTTATGTTGATAGTTAAGTACGTTTGTTTTCTACGAAAAAAATAAACAAGCATTAGATTTAGAACGATTATTATTAAATTATATAATCTCAGGTTTAATAGGACATATAGGTACTCGTTTACCGACTGTAAATGTCCTTGTCGAGCTCATTATGTAGCAACATTACTTCGTATTCTATGTTATTTTCTTTCTATTTCTTTTTTTTCTCTTCTTCTTCTTCTTCTTCGTCTTCTTCTTCTTTATTTCTGTCTGCCGTCTCGCTTGCATACTGATGTCGATCTGTAGACGAACTGCAACAAGTAAAGAGCGATGCATATGACCCACATGTACGTACTTTTATCAGTGCGATCTTTTTATTCTCTGATTCGTACATTTCATTCGTTTAAATGAAGATTACAAGAGACTATGTATGTGTAAGTCTTTATCAAATTTATCTTTAAATATATACAATAAATGATAATATTAAAAACAAATATCAAACACTCTTATATTCTAGATTACAGTGATAGACATTTTCATATACTATTTTCAATAGTTTTCTTCATTTATAATGACTGAAGTTATAATGACTTACAAACTTGAAAGTGATGATGATATAATAAAAATACAAAATATGGATTCACCATCATCTCGGTCAAGTACACCAACAAGTACATCAAAAATTAAACGTGCTCGATTAACATTTCCATTTGGAGCCTGGTAAAAATTTTCTTAATAAATCTGTTGATGTTTATCTTTATTTTAATTTTAGTCGAGTGTGTTCGGATTCAGCTACCGGTATTCATTATGGTATTGCTACATGTGAAGGATGTAAAGTAAGTGATTCAAGCTTCTTTTTTTTCTTAATGTTTTTCTCCTATTCTAAGAAAAAAGATTTTTCGGTCATTTCTTAATGAAAATTATGTTGATGTTTATAGGTGATTGATTATTATATTTTTTGTTTTAGGGTTTCTTCAAAAGAAGTATTCTTCGAAAAGAAAAATATCGATGTTATTTTGACAATTCATGTATTATTAATGTAACTAATCGTAACCGATGTAAAGCATGTCGATTTCGACGATGTATAGGTGAAGGCATGTCCGTTGATGGTAAATACTAGTCAATTAGATTGATTTTTCTTATAAAAAAAATAATTTTTTTATCATTATACAGGTGTAAAGATGGGGCGTATACCAAAGTTAGTTAAAGAAAGAGCATTACGCGAACAAAAAGAAGAACAAATGAGAAAACAAGCAGTATCATCAACCGAAACCAATGAAAGATCTGATGAAGTACATGCAAGAGAATCATCATGTTCATCATTATCTGATCGTAGTATAGAAAATGATGATCCTAATCAAGCAGAACAAGGTAAAAATCATTCATTTGTTTTCATAGAATTGCAGACTTATAAAATACTCCTTCGCATAGAATTAATATTATTATTCATACTGTTGTACTTAGAAGATGGGTAGACATGATCTTTATTTTTATAATAGTATATAATTAGACATTCTTTTGAATTTCTAAAAGAAACTGTAAAGGCGTTTTGTTTATGAAATAAAAGAAGAGCAGACAGTATTCATGTAACTCTCTTTTAGATTTCCCATAAGAACCATCCACTTGACATCATCAGTCTATTAATAAAATAATACCGGAAATCCAGAAATAGATATTTTTCCAGGTTCTCATATTTACTCTTTCAACTAAACTTTAAAATAATTAAAACAATAAACATATGTGTATATTTTATATCATATAGACATGTTAAATATACAAGCAGCAGCTGTTCGTCGACACTATGAATCAACAAAAATGCATCCAAATCATAATTTAACTCAAAATACTTCTCTATCATATAATGATCAATTATCAAAACGTTCAATAAATTTATGTGAACATGATATCAATTCACCTTTAAATGTAAATCAACGAAAAGCTCATTTATTAGCCCACCGAACAGTATATCCAACGTTATTACCTGATGATTTTACATTAGATGAAACAATTGGTTTAGTTGAACATTCAACAGGTCCTTTATCTAATGAAGTATTTAACCATATTCATACAATATCATATAAATTAAGTCAAAATAAATCAAATTTACGTACGCAATTATCAGAAGATGAATTAGTATTTACACGGTAAAGGAAAAAAAGTTTTTGTTTCTCTTTAAATATATAGATAATTTATAGATTTCTTCGTTGGTCTTCATATAATATTTATCTTCGATATTCAAAACGAGTTAAACAATTAGAAACACGAATGAATCATATGATTCATAAGAATATTAATGAATATCCAGGTGATCATGGAACCGTAGAAGAATTTTTTATCAGTATTCGAAGTATGTTTTATTATAATATAAAAAAACATTTAAATTAAGTTTATTTATTTATAGAAAGTATTGAAGTTGTTGTTCGCTCATCTGTTTTTTATATTCAAGAAGTATGAGGAACAAAAAAAATGTTTTTCGTATTTATTAAAATTTTTTATTTTTCTAGTTACCGGGCATGACTAATATGGATTCAAATGATTTACGTAAATTAATTTTACATCGTTCATTTGATTGGTTTATGGTAAATATTGAATTATTTTTTAATTAAATCTATAAAATGTTGTTTTTTTTCTTGTCAACCTTTAGCTTAAATATCATCGTCTATTAAATGAAAATGGTCAATTTTATATTGTTTCACCTGATGGTTTTCAATGCACTCGTCGTTGGATGAATAGATTTTATGGAGTTAAAATGACCGATTTAATGTTTCACTTTAGTAAATCTTTACATGAACTTAATTTAACTGAAACAGAAATAGCTCTTATTCTACCATTACAAATGTGTCATCCAGGTTAATAAATTTCTATTAGAAATGAATTCATTTTTCTAAAAGATTTCTTTTTTTATTTACAGATGTAACTATAGACGATAAAGAAAAATTACAAATGTTACGTGCTTGTTATCTTTATGGCCTTTATGAAGAATTATGTCTTAATCGCGGTGAAGAAAAAGGAAAAAATGTTTGTAGTAAAATTTTACAGGTTTGTTTAATTAATCTTTCTTTTTTTTGTATGTATGAAATTTTTTGCTTTAGATACTTGATCAACTTATTCCTCTTAATGAACTATATGAAGTAAATGTTGGATCGCGTGTATTAGAAGGTAAAAAGAACCTAAATAAAAAATTCAATTCTTAAATTTAATATTTATATTTTAGTATAAATCATTCATCAAGTATCCGGTTTCATTTTTGATGATCTCAATCATCTAGCTAATTCTCAACTAACAAATGTGTTCTTTTTTTTCTTTTTTCTTCTTCCTTTGTTGTCGAGTTTTAACTGTATTATCATTCTGCTTGTTTATTTTTTCGCATAGTTTTGATGTTCATATTGGAAAAAAACAGTGGTAAATATATATATATATTTTTTTTATGTTTATCTTTCTACAATGAACATACAATAAAAGACAAAAAAAAGCTATAAAATGATTTATATTTAGTTGTTCTATATTTATACTAAGGGTTTACGAATATGAATGTAATTTATTCATAATAATTTTAAAAGGACTTATTGATGTAGGATTAATTTATAAGAGAAAGAATAGGAGTATTTTATATTTAGATTAAAACTCCGTATTACCCTATATAATCATTTATCTAATACATTTCTAGATACATATACAAGTGCTATTATGAAATCATGATTTGAAACTTTCTAATATTTAAATTAATAAGAAAAGACGCATTTATGTTATGACAGACAAAATTTATGAATGCCCTAGAAAAACACATCATAACGAGTTATTTTTTTACATTTTCCTTTGCTATTTTTATATCAGTCTGCTCTGGAAAAGAAAAAGAAATTGTTTTGAACTTCTCGTTCGTTTTCTTTTCTTTTCCGAATGAATGCATGATTTTCTCCGGGTCTTTTAACCTATATAACTATAAATATGACAGATATTTTATTTAACAATAGACATCGCCTGTAACATCAAACTATTCGAATATAAATCTTAAAATATTAATGTATAGCTGTTATTTCATCAACTGTTAAAAATAGAATTAAGTTATAATAAATGACAATTTTCAATAGAATTTATGAATAAGCATGAGATTTTAAAATGTCAAAAAGTCTGTCTGGGAAAACGACTAGATGAACTGCCATTTGTAAAATTCAAATATATAGAAAATCTATATATTGTATGTCTGTTTTCTGCGTAATAAAATAAAAAAATAATTACAGTAAAGCCTAGATAATATATATGGAAAAAATCTTTATATACTAATGCACTATTTTGAAAGTATATGAGAACAAGGGCAAAGATCAGAACGAGCTGAGTACATTCTTTTCCCGTTAGATGTCTACGAGAAGATAAAAATAGAGATCAAAAAGCATCCATTATATAATCATTCGTATTAAGTGAGTTATTAAGTAAATAACAATTAGATTAATTTAATAATTATATATAAAAACACTCAGTCGAAGTAAATTATTATACAACAATATTACATTAGAATCTGTAAAAATAAGAACCTTCGATTTTTATCTTTATCAACTAATAAACAAAAATAAATTGTAACAGTTTTTTTATCAAAATAAAATAAATACTTCAAGTTTTTACCCTGATCGGTACATCCTTCTAATTTAGATATTTATCATGTATAGAGAAAAAACGATTTATCACATATGTTACATCGTTTCAATAAATGTACTAACAATATTTCAGGGACATTTATTCATATGGAAAAAAGAAGTACATACATGATCAAAATACAATAAGTGAAACTTGTATATTATTTGTTGTACTTTTAAATAATGAAATACATTCTCTTCTACTGAGCAGAATTGATTAGAGAAATACAATAACGGCTATATAAAAAGTTCTGCGTATATACTAAACATATTTCTATATGCTCCGGTCGAAATTTGAATCGTATATACTATATTGTAATGAATAGATAGACTTGGAATAGTGACTTTAGTTACAGTAATGTGATCAATACAAATTGAAAATTTCTATTTTTGATCTTGTAAGTAAACCTACGCATTTAAAAAAGAAATGTATACATATTGTTTCTAACTTATTGACAAAGATATCATAAAAATATATAATTATATTGAATCAAAAATAAAATTACTCTCCAAATTCAATATGTTACAATAAATGTATAGAATAAATTTAAATTTAATTAGAAGAAACTAAAAAAATATTTTTCTGATTATTTTTTTGTTTGTGGATGTTTGAAAAAAATAGAATTTCATTCAATAAAATAATCTACCTGAGAATGTCGATTGATCTGACTAATCTTGGATCATTAACCCCAATTCATACTGATTTTGGTAATAATAAAGATGATCTTCTTGTTGTGGAATATGATGTACCACAAACTAAAGTCAAACAAACACTCTTCTATAAATATGGTCAACTTTCCATACCGAAATGGGCATTAATACCAGCAGGTATTCTTGCATTCGGTTTAATAACTGCTTTATTTGCTATTATTATTAATTCAATTCTTGCACAATCATCAATAACAGTAACATATTCTCAATACTGTTCGAAAACATCAGTATGTAAAGAAGGTGTTGGTTTAACATGTGGATCACTATCAAAATGTGTATGTAGTTCAACTCAACAGTATTGGTATGAAAATCTATGTGTTGATCAGCCAACATATACAGAACAATGTAATCAGACAACTGAATGCCGTACTGATCTTGGTTTAATATGTGCTGAAATCAATGGTCAATGTAATTGTCCAAATACAACTAAAGTTCAAACATGTGATTGTTCTTCAACTTCATATTGGACTGGTTTAAAGTGTACAAATCGTTTAAGTTATCTAGGTAAACAAATCTATATATAATATGTCTATTTAAAATCTTATTTATTTTTGTATTTATTATTATTTAGGTGCATGTACTGTTGCTGATACTAGTTATCAATGTTTAAGTACTTTATATTGTAATGGTTCAATGTGTATATGTTCACCATACACTCAATATTGGAATGATACTGCAAGCGAATGTTATTCTGTTGATAAATATCATGCTCTTTGTAATACATCAACTTCATATAGTTGTGATGCAAGTGTTTCATTACAATGTTTATTTGCTGGTGGTGGTTCTCAATGTCCTTTTAATGCTACTGCTAATACAACGTCATGTGAGTGTGCAAATGGAACTTATTGGAATGGTGGATCATGTGTTACTAAAAAATCAATTAATATAGCTTGTTATTGGAGTTGTGAATGTAATACTGACGCTGGTCTTCAATGTCTTAATCTAACGTGTGTTTGTCCTAGTAAACAATATTGGTCAACACAGACATCTTCATGTGAAGCTCAAAAGAATTATACAGAAACATCATGTTCTAATACTACTCAATGTGATTCAACACAAGGTTTAACATGTTATCTATCTGGATCAGCATGTAATTGTCCAATTACTTCATCAGTTAATATGTGTGATTGTTTGTCAACTCAATATTATGATTATAATCTTACATCATGTCAAACACTTCAATTATATAATGATACATGCTATGGTAATTATATGTGTGATTCAACAGTAGGTTTGTTTTGTCAACTGAATACTAATAGTGCAGCTAATTGTTCTTGTCCTGAACCTATTCGTTTATGTAAGTATTGAATTAATATTTTAGTTATTTATTTATTTCATTTTTTGAAGATATGTGTGATTGTAACATCACATCTTATTGGAATGGTCTTGCATGTGTATCACGTTTAGCACCAAACGTGTCATGTACATATGAATATGAATGTGAAGCAAATTTTACATGTTATGTAAATGAAACAGATAATGGTATATTTTCGGATGTATGTCGATGTCCAATAGGATATTATTATGTATCTGGAAGTGGTTGTGTTCCATCAGTGAATTATTCTCTATCCTGTGAAGGATCATATCAATGTTATGAACTAGCACCACTTTCCTGTCGATATAATTATACGGGTTTAACATGTTTAGATATAGGTGCTTTACCTGCATGTGATTGTCAAGATAATTATTATTACAATACTAATTCAGGTCTTTGTTTACCAAAATTAAGTCGATTAGGCAATTGTACTCTTAGCTGTCAATGCAGTTCACCTTATGTTTGTACACAAAACTTTCAATGTGATTGTATAGACTATTATAGTACTGTAAATAGCAGTTGTGTTCAATATTTACAATACGGTGATGCATGTACAAATGTGTCTCAATGTGCAGCAACACCAAGTACTAATATGTCATGTGTGAATGGAACGTGTGGTTGTATTTCAACAGGATATTGGAGTGGATCTCAATGCTCATTTACAACCAATTTTCGATCTATATGTACTAAAGATAAGGAATGTTTCGGTGATTTAACATGCAACAAAATTAGTTGTATTGACTCAAACAAAAGATGTTCATGCCCTAATAACCAGGTCTATATTGTAGCCAATACTAGTTGTGTACAATGTAGTGGAACAATACTTGGTAGTTATACAAAAACCGCTGTTAATTTTGTTAGTTCTGACTCATGTGTCGCCATTAAAGCCCCAGCATATTTGTTTTCCTCTACTTTATCATATTTGACTGCTAATACGTTCTGTACAAGTGTCCCAGCCATATCCAGCCGTACACCACAGTTAATTAGTCTTCATAATTTAACTGATCTAAATTGCCTTGCTACTGCTCTGAATACTGTAAGTGGTAGTCCGAAATGTTCAACTAAATTGTACTTTCTTGGTTTTAATTCAACAAGCCTGACATTCTATGATGGAACACAATATTATCCTACGTTTATAGGTACACCTATAGGTCCATCAAGTTGTCTTACTATATGCTTAAATGGTGGCAGCACAGGTTCCTTAATGGCTAGTGAGTGCTCCAATGCTGGTGGTTTCGATTTTACCGCGTTTGGTGCCATTTGTGATTATTTTGTAAACTAGTGGATTACACATTAAACTTCAAAATTCATATTTTTTTTCTTTCAGAATATAATATATATTGTATACATTTTATGATATTTGTTTTTTGCTTATTCTCAAGTTTTATATCACACTTACTTGTCTTATAATTTTTTCATACTTTCTTTTTTTGTGAAAAAATTTTCTAATACTTAATAAACCAGTTTTATTTTTTCATGTGTAATTTTACAAAAAAAAACTATTTTTTTACATTTCAAATAATATGAATTGATTTATATTTCTCTATTATTTATTCAAATAACTGAAATTATAATATACAAACTATATTTTTAATCATTATTGAAAAGATTAGTAAATCATCTTGTATATATTATTTCTTACGACTAGTCTTATTTATATTGATTAGTGCAAAAATACAAATTAAGATTAATGATATTCACAATAATGCAAATGACTTTCAAACAAGAATTAATGGCATGAAGAGTATTGACATTTATTATTATTATCTATAATAATTACAAATTTCTTTTCTATGTTTTAATCTATATTTTTAAATTCATTAATATATATGTATTTAGTCTATAATTAATAAAGCAAGATAGATAATACCCGGAAAAAAAATTAATCCTTGTCTATTTCTATTAAGTAAGAAATGTATATCCTCCCTGTCAATCTCTTGATAAAAACAATTTCAGAATATATTTTATTAAGAAAAAAAAGAACATTCTTTACTTTTTATCCATCTGTAGACATGCAATCATACAACCTTATTAATATTGTTATTAGTAAAGACTTGGACTATAAATATAACGAAGAAAAAAGAAAAATAATAACATGCCTTCAAATCAGATCATATTATTGTATCAATAATCTATAATTTAAATGCGAAATCTAATGACATGTCCGATTAGTAGAAAAGGTATAATTATTAAGAAATATTTTTTTCTTTTTTATTAAAAACCTTCTGAATAATCTATTATATCTCAATTAATAAGAACTATTTTTTTTTCTCTCTCGTCCTCCATACATAAAAGTAATATATGCATAAATAAATATGTGTATATATATATATAGATATATATTCTTTTTATCACGATGATGAACAACAGCAACAACAATAACGTCGAAAAAATGATCGATGTTTTTTTTTATTTTTAGTTTTTGTCTTTCTTGTTTTCATTCTTGTATTTATTTCACGTACAATTTCAGCAAATGTATCATTAACATTAATAGCTAATTTTGCTGATGTTTCAACATAAGGACATGTCCATGCTTGTGCTAATGCAAGTGCATCATCGGGTGTTACTTGACGTTGTATAGATGCGTCACATTTATTTCCAACAAGACATATAGGTACATTCTCCGTACCTTTAACACGAAGTATTTGTTCACGAACAGTTCGAGCATCAAGAAATGATTGCCAAGATGTTAAACTAAATACAACAAGAAATCCACGACCATTTTTTATGTAAAGATCACGCATAGATGCAAATTGTTCAGTACCTAAAATAGTCTAATCATAAAATATATATATTGAATTCGAAAATAACAAACCGGCAGTATCGAGAATTTCCAAATAAGCAGGTTCGCCATCAACTTCAATTTCTTTACGATAAAAGTCCTGAAAAGAAAAAGACATTTCTAGTTAAATAAAATAGTCATTTGGGAATTTGATTTTAAATAATTTCTTTATTATCGATTATAACATAGACAAGAAGTATGCTTGATTTCCATAGAGAAAATATTATTTCTATATTTCCTTTCCTTAACAAGAGTTGAACTTGATCAGAAAATAGTGTCTCTTTCTTTTTCCTTTCTCGTATTTAAAGGCGATAGTACTTATTTCTACAATTGTCACTCAAGAAATAAAGTTCAATATTCAGTTTGTTTCTTTTTTCTATCGAAAAAATAACAATCTGAATTGTAGTTTATATATACACTTCATTAAAAACGGATATGACATTAATAATTTCACATGCAAACAAATTTTTATTAGAGATAATAATAATAATAATTGATTTTTCAGAATGAAATTATTTACGTTAGTTATTCTCAATGGAATTTTCTATACACAAGAGATGCATATTTTAAAATTCAAACCTGCTACTTAGCCTCAAAATATTTTTGATGACTAATATACGATTTTCTTGTACAAGGACAAGTTTTTTTCAAGGTTAATTGCTCGAAAGAAAAAGAAATGACAATGTCTAATCCTTTCAAGCAATTAGTCAATTTGTCTTCTAATAAAAAAATAAAAATAGTTATTTGCTTTTTTTTGACTTACTTCTATAGTTGGATCATATTTTTCAACGAATTTTGAGTGACAGAACTGTACCGTTAATGCTGATTTACCTACACCACCTGGACCAAGTACGACTACTTTATATTCTCTCATGTCGACAGCTAAACCGATGCGGTTGCTGCTGATGAGGTAAAGGCAAGCAGCTCATTAAACGTTACCGCACACACTTGTCTACGCAGTGAAGGAGAAGTAGGTGTGTAGAAGTAATATGAGACGTATATAAAAAAAGAACAGAAATCTAAAAGAGGAAGAATATAATGATGACAACAAGTGGCAACATGTCACACATTCGTACACTATATAAATGTGTACAGCAAGACAAATGTCTTTTTTTTTTACTTATACACGTTTTTTTTCTTCTTCTTCTTCTTCTTTCTTCTCTTCTGTACAATACTTTACCATTGCATATGATTACAAATCTTATTTCAGCTGATTCGATGTACGAGACGATGGATGATATTAATATTGAGGCATTTTGAAGTTTTTATCGACGAGATGAAAGGAATCAAAGAAGAATATTATATAATATTACCATTATTATCACAATCGAAAAACTGAATTCATTTCGTTGATGAATTGGTTAGAAAAAAAGAACTGACATTTTGACAAAATACCTAACGAGAAAGAAAAAAGAAAGACAACTTGTATGCACGCATGGTACAAGTTAGATGTATATGTATATATCATTACATATATACCATTGTATAAAAGTATGGAGAGACAGAGAGAGAGAATAGGTTCTTCTTCTTCTTTTGCAATATAAGTAGTGCCGTTGACCTGATCGATAGCATTGATGCGAGCAAACATATATATATATTTTATATGTATATCTTTGCGTGTATGTTGTGTAATAAAGTCATTGTCTAATCTTTCTAGCGGCAGGCCAAGCAAGATCTATATTCACTGATATTGTTGTTGAGACATCATTCATCAAATTGAATATCGCTTGCAGTACAAGTGACAATCAACAGAACTATATAATACAAACACAAGACATTCGATCTTTATCGTCTTCGTTCGTTGTCAGTTTTTTTTTCTTTTTTTTTTCATCGTTGTTGTAGTAGTCGTTGTTGCACACACCCTCAAGCATCGACATTTGAATATATTTCTCGCGTCTGCTCGTGTGCGCACGACTAATCGCTTTATCTTACTTACAACAACAATACAACTTGCCGCATATACACAAAACAACATATGCATCCTAACGAATATATGAGTATGTGCGTGAGTGCACATTCGATGGTTGACTATAGCTCTAGTGCACAATATACAATAAAAAAAAATTGTCTCTGTCTCTCTCTCTCTATCCCGCTTTCTTTTCCTCTTCATAGTTCATCATTGCTGTAATATGTATGTGTGTGTATGTACGTGTACGTGTGTGTGTGGTTGAACGATTGCTTGTCTTTAGTAAAAGCCTTGAGGCCAGTTGATTGATCAATCGATCGATCATATCAATTCATTGATTATCTATCTTCTGGTCGATCGATACACATTAGTCTAGTTTTTTTCTTTTCGTTCTTTAGTCAAATGGATCAATCATAATTGAAAAGTCAGTCAATGTGGACCTTGAAAAAATAATAAAAAGAAACAAAGAAAAATCTTAATTGATATTTGATATAAAATCAATTTCTTTTTTGTCATAGTTAAAATTCTATATCTAATTTTGATTGTTTTTTTGATTATGATGGTTTTTCAAGGTTTGACAGGAAATTATCAGCAATTTTCTTTTTGTTCGCTTTCTATAGTCATTGAAGTTTACAATAGATTGTAGAAGGATAATGTAAGACCTCTTCACCGGATGCTCAGTGATGACACTTTTGTGAATGCATTAAAAGAATAAATTGGTTCATGTATTCAATCCTCTTATATTAAATTGAAAATAAAATAAATTTTATAACATTGTGTATATATACATGTATCAATAAAATAGATACCTAATTTATAATGAATATTTATTTATCAATTCATGACATATCGATTCATCAATAGTCTCTCTGCTTTTGATCAACAAAGAAAAGAAAAATGAGAATTCTTTTATATAATGAATAAATACAATTTTCTTTTTCTTTTTGTGTATTTTGGTTATTATTAATCATACAATGGGATTGTCTTCCATAAACGAAATGAAATCTTTATTAATGGATTTCTTTTTTTCCCTCAACGATGGGATGATTTTCATTGATTAAACATATATATATATATTTATAAATAATCATAACCCACTATATTATATCATGGTATGCGTGATTCAATTGTCAATTTTAGATTGTAGGTTCTTTTTTTCATACAATATACATATATATTAGGTCATCACTCTTGTTATTCAGACTCCCTATGGTGTATCTCGAATCAACAGATGGAATAGTATTCTTGTTATCATGATCAATGTCAAAGGACGAGCTTTCGTTCGTTATAAGTTAGAAAATGATCTTTTCATTGTTGCTGCTGTCATCTTCATTTTTTGTTTTTATCTTACTTAGTTTTTCTTTCTTTTTTTTTCTTCTTCTTCTTCTTTTCTTCCTTTAAATGAGATGACGAGAAACAAAAAATGGAAAATCTTTTCGGATGCGTGTTCCCAACAACTTCTATGTAATATACAAGTAGAGCGAACATTGATGAGTTTGATGAATGTGCGAAGCGAGAAAGCGAGCGAGTACGCCTAGGATCTTCTCTATGATAAGACTAAGGCAAGGACAAATGATGAGAAAGAAAGGCATTCCTACATTCTAATGCTTTTGCCGTTAGAATGATGCATCAATAATAAAAAAAAGGAAAATGAGACGACCAACTAGTTTTGATGACTATGTGAACTGCTATCAGAATAGTTGACTTTGTCTTGCAGAGTATATGTCGTCTTCTTTCTTTCTGGCAATCATTAGTAGGTGCCCTTCTACGGGGTTTTTCTCTCTGTTATATTTGTCTGATCACCAATAAGTTCTTAATGATAACCACTTGGAATGTAGAAAGAGAGAAATATATTGATCCAGTACATATTTTTTTTGACTCTTTATATTAAATATAGAATATTGATAAGAAAGAATTTTTTTTCTCCCCTGTATTTTTTTCTAGATGATAATTATCGTGACACAATACTCGGATGTAGATCTTCGATGTAGAACAACATGAACCAGGGTAAATTTATTTTCTTTGTTTCAATATTATTTCTTATTCTATATAAATATCAAAGAATTTGTTTCTAAAAGACAAATATAATTTAGATCAAAAATATTAATCAGTATCGTCTTTGGACGTGAAAACATAACGGATGTTCAATAGTAAAAGACCGGTTGTGTACAAGAAGTGATGCAGAAAAATGCTTATACTTATTGTTGTTCATCTATGGAGTTTATATGTTATTCTTCCGACGTCAGTCGTCGGTCAACAACAATTACCATCACACACATTTGACATCACAATTGGTAGACAATATACATATATAATAACACATCAAAATTGATTGATTGCTTATTTATTTATTTTTCAGGTGGTGTTTTTACAGATCGAGACGAGGGTACAGATATACAAAGTATGGAAAGCATTTTTAAATATGCTATATTTCATTATAATCGTTTGGCTAAAGATGCCTATAATCTATCATTTAAAATCCGTCTTCAAGAAGAAACATTAAGTCTTATTGCAGCTAATTCAGCTGTTCAAACTGTTCAAGATGGTATTAAAAAAAGAATATTGTATATTTTTATTTAAATAACTTTTGTTTTTAGTTTGTTCACTCGTACATCAACGTCGTGTACAAGGTATATTTGGTCCACCTTATTCCGAATTAGCCACACTTGTTCATTCAATATGTTACCATGTTGATATACCATTTATAAATGTTTGTTCATCATGTTATGATGTTGAAAGTTTAGATGAGGATATTGATAATGACAATGAACATATGCGACGACGTGATCGCATGTCAATAAATTTATATCCGTCCAATCAAGATCTTAACATAGCATTTCATAATTTAACACATAAACTACGTTGGCAGAAATTTCTCATCATATATGATATGGATTCAGGTAAAAGGATAAAGATTAAATAAAACGAAATTAATAAAAAAAAAAATTTTTTCATTCAGGTTTAACACGTTTACAAAAACTACTTAATGACCCAGGTATTAATCAAACTGATATTCTTGTACGACAATTTACACACTATAAAGATCGTAGTGTTCTTATTGATGCAATTGGACGTGACATATTTAATATTATATTAGATTTAAATGATATTAACACACGTACTATATTAAAAATGGCATTACAAATGGGTATGATCAACTCAAATTATCATTTCTTATTAACAACATTAGTAAAAAAAATTTCAAAAAAAATAAATGAATGTGATTTATTTTCCTTCTTCTTTACTTTAGAATATTGATACATATGATTTAGAAGATTTTAAATATAATTTCGTTAATTTAACATCATTTCGTTTATTTAATCGACATCATTCACGTGTACAGATGGCAATGGATTCATTTTTTACATTTAAAACTATGTCAAATAATGAAATTAATCGGCGATTATTCACAGTAAGTTATTTGTAAAGAAAAAAAACAGAAAAGAAAATCTATTTTGTTGATCAATGATTCAATCATCTTATGGCTTAGTTTAGACTTCGGCGGCGCTATGGACTGATGCAATACTTGCTTTTGCATATGCTTACGATAAATTAATAGCATCACGTTTGACTCTTGGGAGCGAAATAGCACGACCTAATGTGTCATGTACTGACGAACGTAGTTGGCCATTAGGCATTGAACTTCATTCAAAATTCAATGAAGTAAATAAATTTTCTATATAAAAAAAAAAACCTATATTTAATAATCAATAATTTTAAGATATCATTTGATGGTATTACCGGAAAAGTAAAATTTACATCCAATGGTGAACGAACAGGTTTTGATCTTGAAATTGTTCATTTATCTGAAACTGGTTTAGCAAACGTAATGAAAAGTAAATTCGAAAGTTTTTTTTCTATTTTAACTTCTTTAGATTGGAGTATGGTCACGAGAACGTGGTGCGAATTTTACATTAGCACCCTCATCACGTAGTGGCTTATTTAATTCAACATTAATTGTTACCACTATTGTTGTAAGTGTAAAAAAGAAAAGAACCCATATGTTTTACATGTTTATTAAATTATTTAGGAAGCTCCTTATGTCATGTTTAAAAATAGTCAAAACTTAAGTGAAGTCTTAAGTCGAAATTATACTAATAATGAATTCGAAGGGTTCTGTGTTGATTTACTTGATGAACTTTCACGTGCATTGAAGTTTCGCTATAAAATTAAACCTATTGCAACTGGACGCTATGATGACATGGTTGAAGAAGTTAAAAATAAAGTAAATCACAGAATAATTTTTGACACAAAGAAAAAAACTATACTTATATTTTTATTTATTAGGTCGCTGATTTAGCTGTCGCACCATTAACAAGTGAGTATTTGAGCTGTCATTTATTATTATCTATAATTAATTGAATTTCAAATCTGTCATAATTCCTCTAAGATCAAATTTCAGATAGGAACATTAAATAAACCATAATGTTACCTCATTTGTCTCTTTTTCTAAAATTATGATATATTTAACTAATGGTAATCATATTTCAGTCGATTTCGAAATGACTAGATTATATTTTTATTCAGCCATTATTAATTTGATGTGAAAGAAGAAAAAAAACATTCTTTTTTATTATTTTAGTTAATTATGCTCGTGAAAAACAAATTGATTTTACTAAACCATTTCTTAGTTTGGGTATTGCTATATTATTTAAACTACCAAAACCAGAAAAACCAGGTTTATTCAGTTTTCTCAGTCCATTATCACTTGAAATTTGGGTAAATATTTCTTTTACTTAAATAGATTTTTCTTTCTCATGTTTTACTAATCTTTAGATCTATACATTTGCTGCTGTATTTACAGTTAGTTTTATTCTTCTATTAATCGCACGATGTTCACCTGATGAATGGCGTAATCCATATCCATGCGATACAGAATATGATTATTTAGAAAATCGTTTTACTGTTAGCAATACACTTTGGTTTTCAATTGGCACATTGATGCAGCAAGGTAAAGTATTTTGTTTTAGAAAAAATTCGTTTATTTTCGATTGAAAAAATAGGTTCTGATGTAAGTCCATCAGCTATATCGACTCGTCTTGTTTCTGGTATCTGGTGGTTTTTTACATTAATTCTTATATCATCGTATACTGCTAATTTAGGTAAAGTTTTTGTTTTAAATAGATATGTATAAAGGTTTTTGTTTGATTTTAGCTGCATTTTTAACTGTGGAAAAACTTGTTAATCCAATAGAAAGTGCAGAAGATTTAGCTAAACAATCAAAAATAAAATATGGCGTTGTAAATGGTGGTTCAACAGAACAATTTTTTCGAGTAATAATTTATTATTTTCCTCTTCTGTTTATTCACTAATCTGAATCGTTTTTTATTTTTAAAAGGAATCAAGTATTCCGACATATCAAACAATGTGGAAATATATGAAGAATAATCCTGATATATTTGTTAAAAAAAATCAAGATGGTATTGATCGTGTTAAAGCGGAATCCTATGCATTTCTTATGGAATCAACATCAATTGAATATACAGTACAACGCGAATGTAATTTGACACAAATTGGTGGTTTACTTGATAATAAAGGCTATGGAATTGGATTACCAGAAGGTTAAATTTCTACTGAAAGAAGTGGTATTTATTCTTATTTTTATTTTATGTAGGAAGTCCGTATCGAGAACGTTTTTCTGAAATAATTCTTGATTTACAAGAAAAAGGAATTGTAAGTAAAAACAAGAAATGAAAAATTACGAATTTATTTTTATATTTTTAAGATTCAAAAATCTTATAATAAATGGTGGAAGGGTAAAGGTACATGTTCTTCAGAAAAAAAAGATTCGAAAGCAAATCCATTGGGTGTTACAAATGTTGGCGGAATATTTGTGGTGCTTCTCGGTAAAAAATTCGCAAATAATTAGTTTGTATTTATTTTGTCTTTATATCTAGGTGGTGTTCTTCTTTCATTATTTGTGGCCATATTGGAATTTTTATGGCATGCAAGAAAAAATCATGCTAATCGCCGAGTAAGTTTCCTCATAGTTCAGATGCATTGATTTAGAAGAAGAAAATTTTTTCCGTGATATTAGTCCATATGATCATAATAGGTATCAGTATTAGACTAATGCTAAACTAACACTTATGAAAAGATTAAATTAACTTTTTCTTCCTCATTTATTATTGAATAAATTTGTATGATACTTTTTTTAGCATTCTATATGGTGGGAATTACTTAAAGAACTTCGTTTTTCTATTCAATGTGGTGCTTCAAATCGTAAAGCACTAATAACTCGTCGATGTTCACAATGTATACATGATCAACCTGAAGCAGAACCTGTTGCCATACCTAATCAACATCGTCATCCTTCATGTAGTCATCGTTCATCATCAGCGTCTATGAATTTTACATCAACATTACAACCTCCATTAAGACATCGAACAACAATCGAGAGAACATCAGACTTAGATAAATTTGATACATTACTTATGCTTGCAGCTGAACGCACAAGTCGTCTTGATTCACGTAATAAACAACAACAACAACATCATCATTCACCAACATCATCACAAAAACGAGCTGTTCCATTATTAATTATTGAACAACAAACATCCAATCATGTTCCACGTATTCGTGCTTCACATAAACGATTTACTAAAAGTGCTGGTATAATATTTTGATTTTTTTTTTTTTTTATGAAAATGAATTTTCATATTTATTTAGAATCATCAGCACGTAGTAGTCTACGAATTCCTCATCATGAAGACGATAATGTTAGTCGTAATAGTACTGATGCATCATCAGGTTCCGTGTCGTCAACGAACCTTCGTCTTCCTTTGCGTGTTTCTCGATTGTGATTTTTATCAATATATGTGTGCATACGTGTTTCAGTTGTTATTTGTTCATTTTCTTTTCTTCTTCTTCTTTTTTTTGTACAAATGAAACACGAATATAACAAAATAGTTAGTCTAATATAATATTAAAGAGAGATAAAAATATTCAGTTACGTCTATATCATATCTTTTCAATTAAAATAATTTATAAAGTAGTATTATACTCATTAAATCATAGATATCAGTTTTGTACATTATTTCCTTCTTCTTCTCGATTACATCAAATACCATTCTCTTTCTTCACTAGTGATATGATCTATACTAGCATATCTTACTATTCATCGGATATTAGATGATAAACCAGATAATATAAGCATTCAATATCTGTAATATTTTTAGTAGGAAGACAAATCGAATGTCAATTATCCAATACGATAATGATATAGATTAATTTTTATTTTAAAATCAAATACAAAACTTTTGTAATCTAATTAGTTAGAATACATATTTTTCAAGGAAATATACAATTATATTAAATGAAGAAGAAATTGTATAATTATTCATCTTCATCCGATTGATTTTGATCTTTACTAGTCATCTTTCGTAGAGCTGAACTTGTTGCAGCTGTTGATGCTCTTGATATGGAATATAAAGAAGTTAAAATACCACCAGTTGAATTATCTACATCTTTTGATGTTAGATTTTCAGGTAATTCACGTAATTGTTTATCAATTTTGATTACAGGTAAACGTATATCTGTATTCATTGGTTTACATTGTTTTTCTATAAATGGTGTTATATATCTTAAAAGTGTTGCTTCTGTTATTGAATTATGATCTTCATTACGTAATAAAATAATTTTTTTTCTTTCATGATTTAAACAAGCATCATATAAGATTTGTGAATGATTCGGTGGTATAAGTGTATCATCTAAGCCATGTATGAAAAGTACTGGACATTGTATATGTTTCATAGCTTCGAGATTATCCCATGAACGAGTACGAATTAGATATGATAGAACACCCGCTTTTTCTCGTACTAAACTATTTATAGCGGTATAAGGAGATTGTAAAATTAATGCTCCTATTGAGTGCATAGATGCAAGATAACATGCAGCACCACTACCAATTGAATGTCCATAGATAATTATTCTTTCAATTGGCCAATTAAGAGTATTCGAAACAAAATTAAATGCTTGTTCAGCATGATTATTAATTGTTTCTTGATTCGGTGATGATGCTGTACATAATCCATATGTTGGATATTCAAAACTTATAGCATAAACATTTAAATGTCTACTAAATTCACTTAAAGTATAATGCATTGAACCAATATCACAACCGTTACCATGACAAAATATCATAAAATATTCAATTTCTCGATTTGAATACTCAGGTGAATAGAACATACATGGTATAGACGATGATTCATTAGTTGAATCAGTAGGTAACCAAAACAAATTATGTTTATGTGATTCTAATGTATAATTAGGTGGTTTTGGTGCTGGAAAAAGAAATTTATTTAACATTTGATTCTATCTAAAAACGAAAAAAAAAGAAAGAGAAAATGTAAATAACAATAACAATGATTTTTATTTTGTTTGTAAACAAATCTTATTTTAATAACTTTATATTATTGAACAGCATGAACAACAACCTTGAGAACGTGAAGGACGAATGAAACTAGTTATTCCGGAAACATTTTCTTCATTTGTTGATTGTTCAGCTTGTAAAAGTGGCGATGATTCATTTATTATAGATGAATTATAAATCATTGGTTCATCATCTACTACATCTTGACTATTAGATGTTCGTTCAATAATTTCATTAGTTTGTAGAGATGGAAATGTAATATTATTGATTTCTACCATACGTTCTATTTCATTATTAAGATTATTTGACAGAGGACGTAATGAATTCAGATCTTCGTCATTGACTAAATATTATAAATAAAAAATAAAACATTACATTTCATCTTGTATTTGAAAAAACATCCAGTATGAAATGGATTTGATTAAACTATTTTATGTAGATATATTTTATATAAAGAAAAATAATATCGTAAAATAAAATCATATGAAATTATAAACTTACATAAATCTTGTTGATGAAATATTTCATAATATCCATCAGTTTGTTTTTTCATCATATTACATAGATGAAGAAATTGAAAATTTTCAATACCAAAATGATGATTTAGATATTTTGTAGTCCAACATTGATCGATTTTTTTTACACCTTTTCGATGAAGATCACGTGCTTTGGATAATTTAAATAATGTTAAATGTGGATTAAATGGACGAACATCTGTTGAAACAATACCGTTTTTTTCATAAGTTTCTCGACAGATTTCTTTTAATAGATAATTAAAGTAGTTTGTAAATCAATTATATCTTAAAAATTATACCAGCTATACGTGTGAGGACGTCAAGATGTTCATCTTTGACTGGATCCATATAGAGTACTTTATTATTGAAATGAGACAGACCAGTAAATGTAATTTGTGGCGGTGATAATTTAGCTAGTGTAATTTGACGATATACATCAGCAAGACTTTCTTGTGCTCTATATTGAAAGAAAGAATACAATGAAATATTTAACAAATTGTCGTTTTAGATGATATGGAGTACAAAATTCTGTTTATGAATGATATTAAACTTAGCGAGACATATGCGCATTACGAGTAAGTATGTTTTTCATATGAAGTCAAATCTTGTTATCACAGCATGAGCTCGTTCTATAAGGAAAATTACAACTTTAAATAATTGCTTGAATCAAGGTTAATTGATACTTATATCAATTCAAAAACAAAAAGATAGATAATACAAAGGAAAAGTTTACAGAGTTTGAAATAATATTATTCCAGGTGAGATATTGTTAGAATTTTATATCAAATGAAGATGTTGGTTATTCGAAAACGAATTTAATTAATTTCTTGTGATATTTTTACATGGTTAGATAAAGTGTTTAGTGACTTTTCCGGAACAAATAATTTCAAAAACTATCTGGAAAATCTTAGACAATGTTAAAAACCTAATTTCCTTTCTTCGAGAGGAAAACATTCAAATTTCTATTAAAAATAGATTATTTTCATTACCATAGGCCTTTCATGATATACTCCTTAGACACACTTTTCACGCTATATCAGGTGAGTACATTTTCAAAAGCCTAGGGTATCGAAAATAATGTAAAAAAACCACGTTTATTGGATAATTGAGTGTTTTCCACTCGAGGAAAACAAAATTACGTTTTTAAGATTATTTGGTCCAGAAAAGTGACCAAAAACGTTTTTAGTATTTACAGTTTTTATATAAAATCCGTTCCTTACTCTATTTGAATACAAAAACGAGATTTTCACTGTTGTAAGCAGTTTCCGAAGCGAATCGTTGGAGTATATCTAATTATACGAATGATAACATTTCCTTTATTTCTTTAGTTTTCAACTAAATAACAAATATATTCATATTTTATTATAAACTGCAATTATTTTCCATGTGTAGTTAATTAAATTATTCATCTTCATTCTATTACAAAAAAAAGAGTTATCATTCATGATTTCAATCCATCTTTGTTTTTTCAATCAGCCATAATAATAGCAAATCGAAGGCCGATTAGAAATAAATTTACAATGGCTTACGATGTAAGATATTACATCTACTACATACACGACACGTGTCAGCTTTTCTCACCTACTCTATATATATATATCTACTTGATGATAACCGATGCTCACTTATTCTTAGGCTTATTTGCACCAATCATATAATGTGGTATATGCTACTTTTCGTATTACTTGGATCAACTTCATTGATTTTTGGAGAAACTACAACGAACATCGAGCGTATAGAAGAACGTTTAGAACAATCCGGTAACCAATTACCAATCAAAGGATTTTTCGAACCACCAGAAGCTGATAGTTATTTAAATAATTATTACGTACAGGATGCACCACATAAATTAATATTAACAAAAGAAATAACAAAATTTATTCATGAATGGACTCCGCGTCTTTTAGCATTAGATCCAACCGGCCCATATTATTTTTCAAAACTTTCAGATTCGTCAGTACCTGAAAAAGATCTAAATCTTCTTTCATATCTATTAGCTAGTAAGTCTTATAAAAACCAATATTATTACTATTATTATTATGATTTTAGTTGAATCAAATCGAACACTTGATTTTCCATTTATTAATGTTGTTCCACAAACCCATCGTAATGCTATTCCACTCCTATCGATTTTTCGTTGCAGTGAACATGTTTATCCAACATCAGATCCATTTTTTCATAATCTTGAACTTATGATTGGTCCCGGTAAAACTGAATTACCAGTACAACAATATTCAAAAACATATTCACAATTATATTGTTCTCTTTATGGTTATCCACATTTTATTCTTATGAATCAAGCAAAACAATCAAAACTAACATATAATACCGAAACATTACTTTCTCAAGATAAACTACCCGAAATCGATTATTATTCAACAGATTTAACACCTGGCATGTGTATATTTGTTCCACCTGAATTCGCAACAGGTATTCAATTTAACAATAGTCTTTCATTAGTTTTTACATTGAAAAAAATTGAAAAACCAAGTTCAGATGATGAAAGATTACCATGTAATATTACTGGTGAAACAACACTTGATAAGATTGATTTTGCTATAAATGATGAATTCAATATGACTGAAATTGCTTTAATGGTATATTTTTATCAATATCTTAATCCTCCAATGTTTGATTTACACTATACTTCGGAAACATTTTTTAATAAAATTCAAAATGATAGAAATGTATCTCAATTAATTATGCAATGGACACCAGAATTAATTGATCTCATGAAGATTACACTTTTTAAACAACTTGATATGAATAATGATGATAAATTTAGTATTGATGATTATTTTGAAGTGAGACAAGCAAATTTACTTCAAATACATAGTTCAATTTATGATATACTTGAAAAAATACGTGGATACGCTGTAGCACAATTTAATGAATTGAATGATAAGATATCGAAATTTAGCGAACAATTTAAAAGCATGGAATTTGAAGGTAATGCTCAAGAAGCTTTGGAATCATTGTTAGCAAATTTACCTGATCAGGTGAAAGAACGATTAGGTGAAAGTGTTGATCTTGAACAAGTTTTATCTAATGTTAAAGATAAAAGACCAAAAAGACCATCAAGAAATAAACAACGTGCTAGAGAAGATGATAGTTCGATACTTTTTGATAAACAAGATGATGATGAAATCATATCAAATTTTGAACAAGAAGAAGAAGAAGAAATTACAGCAGAACCATTTATAGATGAAAATGAACTTCATCGAACTGATTTATAATGTGTTCGGGTTTTTTTTCTTTTCTAAATAAAAATTCTTTAACTAACCTTTGTTTGTCTTCATCAGTTTTTAGTGCAAATACCATAAGAGTTATATGAAGTGTTGGAATTGATACACTAGCTTTTGATAATAATGGATTTGATTCTATTATTTGTTTTTGAATTTCACTTGCACCATTAATAATCTAAATAATATTCTCATTATTAGCAATGCATGCATATTTATCTCACTAATTATGAACAATATTATTGAATTATCAAGTCACTCATTGAGAGAAGTCTTCTGTTAACAACAGTAATCAAATGAAATACTTGAAAGATTAAGCGACTGAAAAGAAATCGAATCAAACCTAAACGCATTAGTACTCAAGCTTCGTATTTGTTAGATTGTAAGATCATCTCTTCACTTAATCTTTTTACGCATCAATAAATATTGTTTTTTTATAATTCAATGGATACGATGATTTTTCTGCACTTAGATTAAAACTGCTTAGTTTTTTTAAGTGCATGACCACTAACAGCGAGTATTGATATTTTAATTGTAATACGTCTATTTACTATTAAAATTAAGCTTAATTCACTTCGGAAAACAATGATTGTCATAAAAGGGGCATTATCTGAAATATTGATTCATTTTTCATAGCTTATTAAACAACGATCTCTCTTAATTATGAAGAAATTTACAGTATTCATACTTGCTGATTTGTTATTCTAAAACTTAAAAATGCATTTGGCCGTAGTAGTTTTGGTCGTTTATCTTTTTTCCCTAAACGGTAAATGTTCAATAAAATAAATCATAAGTTAAAAATAATTTTTTTTAACTTACCTGATTGATCTGTAGTCGTCTGTTGTAAAAATTCATCTTGACTATCATCATCCGTATTTTGTGTTTTTGTATCACTTTCAGATTTGGGTCGTGCTCGTTTATTTGACGCAGACGTAATAATCTTACTTCCGTGATTAAGTATTCTCTTTGTATGTTTGGTCGATGCCATTATAGAAATATCTATAGAAAAGAAAAATCTTAAGCACCTACGCATAATAAAAGTTTTATCTTTATTTATGAGAAAAAAAAGTTCCGGAAAGACCTATATAAAATGTAGATTATAAATATTTCTAAATGTAACATCAAATATTTATAATTCTTTATTATTGAAAGTACCTATTGTTTCACTTATTTAAATATAAAAGATAAAAATTCATTAGCATAAAATCAAAAAGGAAACTAACGAAGTACATGCGACTTTATAGTTACAATATTAAAGGATTGTTTATTGGGCAATACTCTAAACAAAATAAAAACTATTTCGCAGATAATCTAATGACTTAAAATACTCAAATGGTTTTTTGTTCTCATATTTATGAAATTAGATTCGTAATAATACATATTTTAAAGATATTTTTAGCAAATAGAAGCTCATTAGTACGTATTCGATGTACCGGAATTTTCTAAGAATATCAAATGTTTAAATGGCTATTTCTTCCGAGGAAGATTCTCTAATTTTTTTATACTAATAACCTTAAAATTGATCATTAGTTGTTTTCAATACTAAATAAAACATATAATCATATAGAAACTATCATTTTAATATTAATCGAAGCAAAAAAAAACATAAATATTCACAATACAAATCATCGTTTTTCTTTCAAATCTGCTTATCTTTACAAAACAACAAATAACATAAACAAAGATCGAGATTATTATGAAATATGAATAACAAAAAAAAAAGAAGAAGAAGAGGATATAGAATGACTGATATGAACTAGAAAACAAAACAAAAAAAAAGAAAAGTAGCAATGAAAAAAAAAATATTGCAACTATATGGCTTATCATTATCCAAATCATATTCACTGTTTGGAATGAATAATGAAAGTACAAGATTTGTTTTGTTTTATCTATCAAATATTATCGGTCATTATAAATATTGTTATCCATACAAGAATATATTTGAATAGTAATTGTTGTGATTGTGAACAAGGATTTAATAATTTCGCTGAATATATCGAAATCGATGTTTCATCTTCGGAATTATTAAATGAACAATCATGACTATTATTTCGAATAATAATTGAATCACTCATTTGAAAACTCTGTTTAAATGAAAAAAAGTTATTGAAATTTGTTTTTTTCATTCAATTATAACATACAAGACAATAACTAGCATTTGAATATATTGATTGAGCAATAAGATATATTATTGATAGATCATCGGATCGCCAAGATGCAAGACATGTATCTGTTTGAGTTAATAAACGATAATCGGGATCTAAAAGTATATTATAAAATAAAAAAATTTTATAGTAAAAAAGACATTTAAGTCTAATATAGATACGGTCGAAAAGTTAATTCTCCCAACTAAGGTCGAAAGCAAAAATATCGAAGTATAAAAAGATCGAAATATGAAAACGATAAGATTTTGGGTGTTGGAAACAACTTAATGGTAAAAATAAAGAAAGACGTTTGAGGGTGGGTGTGAGTATCGGTGTAAATATAGATATTCACCTATATTTAGTCACACCCACATCCACATCCACACCCTTACCCACATCCACACCCACACCCACCCTTCGACATTTTTATATTTCGAGTATTTTCAAATTCGACATTTCTACCCTTCGATATTTTTGAATTTCGACTATTTTCAATTCGACATTCTTACATTCGGCATTTGTCTAATTTTATTTTGACATTTTTACCCTTCGATCTTTATATACTTCGACATTTTCTCTTTTCGACCAAAGTTGGGATTACCGAAAAGGTTTTTCTCATAGGCTTACTGTCTCTGCACGAATATGACATTCGTCATTTGGCAATCCCTTCTCTTATTCTAACTCATGATTCAGTGTTTTATTCAGCAGGTGGGCGCTGGATGAACGTTCCCCACCCTAAATTTCGATTCGTCCATCCGAAAAATGAAACGCTGTCATGATTGCTTTGTCAAAACTTTTAACCTAACCATAATTGTCGTTCACTGAGAAATTAACTTCTCATCTTTCGATTGAATATATTTTACTTTTAAAATCGTTAACTTTTTTTTCCGGTACATTTCATTGTATGTTCTATTAACTTTCTCCTCACGTATGTTACATTTAAAAAAAATCGTTTTTTTCGACAAACCTTTTTCTGTTTGATAAATCATTAATTTTTCTTTATTATCACAACCAACAGACATTTGAAATGGATTTTTTCTTAAAAATCTTTGTCGATGATGATTTAAATTTGTTTCAAGTAATAAATTTCCAATTGAAGTTGGACACGAAGATAAAGATTTTGATTTTGTAACAAATGTTAATACTCTCTTATATCGATTATTATTACTATTACAATTAGTTAAAACTAATTCTAAAACATTATTTGCTTGTTGATTTATTTGTAAACATTCTTCATAAACTTCACTATAAAACAAACAAGAAAATTTTTCTTTTTTTGAGTAAAAATCTTAATTTTTACCAATTTGTAAATGATTGTACTTGATACTTTAATGAATTCATTGATTGAAGACAATGAAAACGTTTATTATTTCCTTTATTTTTAAGATTAATCAATTCAATATCAGTCGACTTAATAATCATTTGAATTGTTCGATTAAGTGAATACCATTCATAGTCTTGAAATTCTTCCGGAAATATACATGATGATATATTAGATTCATTACCTATCTGTCGATCTAAATTAATATAACAATATAAAAATTCAATAAATAATTTATTCAGAAAAAAAGAAATAATTTACTTATTGATGATAATGTCATTACTGTTGACATAGATTTAGAATTGAGATCACGACATGAATCGTCAGTTGCCATACTTAATTGAAATGACGATGATAGATCTTTTTGTTTCGTTAGAAAATGCTTAAAAGATATTTTGTCAAAATAGAAACAAAAATAATTAGAAATATTTTTTAACTTACAAAACATGCATATTGATTATTCGATTGTTTTGAAAGAATATGAGTAACAAAATAAGTATGAAAACCTTCTATCCATGTTCCAACACAAACAAATTGTAGATCAAATGTTTGCTGATGAGATGAACATGATAAAAGATGAAGACGAAATTGATAATCATTAGCACATTCACCAATATATGATAATGCTGTTGATTGACGACATATTAAACCATCTTTATTTAAATTTGTTAATAAAAATGGTGGTTGTATTGGACATAATTGAGGCTTGGAATTATCTAAATTTTTATCAAACAAAACTAGTATCTATCTTTCTTTTATCTTTTTTTTTTCTTCTCTCTCTTTCTAACGTACACACAGTCTTTTAACCTCATCATCTATTCATTGTATGTTAAAACAACAAATGGTAATAACCATAATAATACTCACTTCTATGTAGTGTATACAAAGCAGCATCGGGTGCAATCATATTCGGACATGAAGTAACATTCAACTGATCATCTGCATCACTACATTCACCTAAAGGAGAAATTAAAAAAAAGATTTATTGAATAATAGTTTCTTTTATTTAATATTAAATAAGAAACATACTTTCACGATATTGCAATAAATTACTATGCCGTTCAATGAATAAAAGACATCGAGTGCAACGATTTATACTATTTGAAAAAAAGAAAGAAAGAAGTATGTTAAACTCATTATTATGGTTCATTGATATTAGCAAACGTTATTTTCTGGTATATTGGTTCTATCTACATATATGACATAATAATAATTCGGACATTCAGATTTTTCCCTTCCGGTATAATTCGTTAAAGAAGAAAACTTCATTAGGAACATATATCTAACATTTGCTCGAGCTTTTACACCTTTCTACTAAGCCAAAAAGCCTTTTAATTAATTTTTTTTTCACTTATATATGTCAAAACTACATTGGACACGTGCAAAAGACATGACGATAAACGTTAATACTGATTGAGTACGTGAATAAACAATTTTTTAAAAGTTACTAATGATGAGATGTGATTTATACGTACGAATCGTTGAAGAGATAATATTGTGGAATAGGAAGTACATCTAGACAACGTCCTTTTGTTTGAACATGATCGATTGTTATCTGTAATAGTGAACTCATACCACGTTGATACCATGAGCCAAGCCATGCTGTAGGCATATTGCACAACGAGCAAGCTAAAGATAAATACGGAAATATGTATGAAACACTTTGAAGGTTATGTGTAATTTACAATTGATTCTCTCCCTCTCTCTCTCTTTCTTTTTTATTCGAGGCATTCAATGTCAATACCACGCCCTTCAATCATTTCTTGTTACTCTATCATGTACGATGAAGAAGTCACTCGTATGAATATTTAAACGTGATTAATATAGAATTTCCTACTAGTTTCTCATCACTTGTCATACATTATTGAAACAATATAAAAATGCATAGAAATAGAAAAAAGACATAATCTTTTCTTTTTTTTTTTTGGTATAAAATATTCAACACTTTTTTTTTTGTTTGTTATCATATGAGTATTATAAGAAAGACATATCTACAATCTTGTCTAAGTTCATCATAATTACGTCATCGAACAGAAAATTCTATCAACAATAAAATAAGTAAACACATCGATGCGTATACACTTAGAATCATCATCAATCGTCATTGCCTTTCTTCAGATTAGATAGTTTGCTATGAGCGGATATATTGTTATAGCAACACTTCAAGATGTGGAATTTTTTCTCATAGTACAGTAATACTTGAGAAAGACAAAACAATCGATATAGCTACTATGAATGTTTCAATTGATCACCAAAAAGAGCTCAAGGCTGACGATAGTTACAGTTCAATAAGGAGAAAAGAAATTCTCTCGTACTTAAAAGGCTTCCTTGTGTATGTATGTGTGTGTCTCTTTCTTTCTCGTTCATTCATTCATTCATTCATTCACTCTAGCATCTGCTCAATTCTAATTATCACTTAAATAAGAAACAAAATGACGTAGTTAAACAATTTCAATTCGTTCATTTAATGTCTATGTTTATCGCGTGAGCTTCTAAATTTAATTAATGATGATGAATGAATACGTTTGCTATAAGTATAAAGATGAACGAGTGGGTGGGATTTAAAATAAAACAAAACAAAAAGAAAGAAACAGTCAGAGCAGATGGACAACAGTTCACATGCATCAAAGTATATATGACAGTCACGTAGAACGGTGTATTGTCTAAATAAATCTAATTGACGAAAGAACGCGTGTGCATATCATTGTTCATTCTTCATCTTCATCTTCATTCTATGGACAGCTGTCGTGCGCATAAACGTATATTCATCGATCGATCAGTCTAAACACTCATCTATCTATCTATTATGACAAATCGTTCACACTATCGTCATTCACAACAATCATGAAGATTATGATTATTAAACATGTCTGGTGAAGAATAAAGTGGAAAAAAATAAATTTGAACATTACCTGACTTAATTTGTATAAATAAAATAATATTAAAAATAACTAATCGATAAATCCCATTCATCCGTGTGCCATTATATAAACTTAATGTTTCAATATTTCTTTACTTCTTTCTCGTGTGGATTTACTTTTCTTCTTGTAAAACTAAGAAGAACAAGTCTACATACAAGAAAAATGAATGATGGTTATAAGCATATAGAACGACGTGTCTTCCGCCTTCTTCTACTATACAACGATGACGATGACGACGACGACATACATACATGCATACATACAATCTTTATTTCTTCTCTACAGTAGTGAGAGAAAGAGAACGAAAGGAGAGAAAGAAACAGAAGAAAATGAAGATCACCATCGTAATGAGCGACAGAAGGGATAGAGAGAGAGAGAGAAGGAGATGAACAAGAAAAAAAAAAGAACAAAGTGGCACGCGAATCACTCGTATATAAAAAGCTTGATGATGAAGTTGTAGCCGACAAACAACTGTCCGGACGACGAATAAATGACCTCATCATTGCAAGACCTTTCTTTTTCAATATATTCAATGTACTTTTAGTCACGTCCGATATTTTTATTCTCATTTTTATTACATGTCTGAAAGTGTCTCACACCTTGTCTACATACATATAACAAAGGTAGATCATGATCAACATATTCAAAGCTTAAAAGATCCCATCTCATTCATTTATTTGAATTATTCAAGTAAAAGATGAAGTACACTTTACACCTTATGTACATATATTTAACAATCGACAATTAGTTTTTCTATTGTTTAATGTACATATATATATAGAGAACGATATATACATATATGTATGCATACACAAGATACGATAGATGAATGAAGTAATCAACAGATGGATAGTGGCGATCTATCATTCATTCACTCACCGTATTCCAAGTGTCTGTTTGTCCACCATCTTTATAATAAATCTAAAAAAAATGAATGACACGATTTATATTTAGAAAAATTATCACGAGTATGATCAGTAAGAATTAAATGAAAAATAAAGTTAGGACATGTACGATTAATTAATGATGTTCATCGTGTGTTGTCTCAGTCTTTGCACTTTGAGCATCAGTCTTCTCTGTTTCTTTCTGAACTATTGATTTATGAGATTTATCATCAATTGTTACATTTTCATTATCAGATTTTGTAGTTTCATCGTGACTTGATTGTTGTTCAGACACATTAGTTGTTGTTAAATTGTTGTGTTGTCTTGTATCAACACTATCCATTCGCACACTAAAATTAGAGACAATTAAAATTATTTGGTGTGATATTCAAAATTATTGAATGTAGTAAAATAAAACATACGTTGTTTGAGTGGGTAAATTTTGATCGACATCCATAGGATTGTCATCGGATTCTAAAATTTCTGTTCTTTGACTATCAGATGGTTCATCTGACACGGGTGGTACACTTGTGACTAGATTTTGATTTGACTCTTCAGGTTTGTTTTCTGTTTCATTCGAAGTTGAATCATCTTTAAGATGTGGGTTGAATGTTGTTTGTGATTCTTGTTTGTCATTCTCTTGATTTGATTGTTCACTGGTTTGCGATTTCTCTTCATTATTAGTCGAGGGTTCAGTGCAATTTTTAATTGCAGCCGATTCTGGATCGAAAGGTGTGAATTCCAATTCTTCAGCTTTTTTAATCCAAGCGTCATATATATGATCATCCCATAGGACAAACACAACCACTGGCATTGAACCAGCGTTTGTATAGACTGATCGAAGGGCAACTTCAGCACCATCATTTGCTGGCTATGAAATATAATATTACTTGTATTTATTTAAGAATGACTCGCACTTACATAACCAAAGATACCACAACTAATAGCAGTAAAACCTATTGATTCAAGATCGTACAAACTAGCTAACTGAAGTGCCGTTTTGTAACACGAAGACAATTCCTCGGCACATGCTTCTGCTTGATATTTGTCATATACAGGACCAGCTGTATTAATAATATAATATGTCGTCGCTGACATGTTATAACTTAGTAGAATACGTGAATGTCCAGTTGGTAAACGAACACCCCTTTCAACTTGTTTATGAGCTTTGCAAGCATTATAAAGGTCGCGTCCAGCAGCTCTATGAATTATTCCATCAACTCCAGCACCACCAGTCATACCTTCATTCGCAGCTATTATAAATAGAACACGAACGATCACATAGCTCTTTCTAACATTAAAAAAACAAACCGTTAACGATAGCATCGACTTTTGTTTGTACAATATCACCTTGAAGTATAACTAATAATGTTTGATGTTGATTAACAGAATAATAACGAGGCATGCGTTTTTTTGGATTTAATCTAGCTAATTGTAGTGAACCGTATCTTTTTTCTAGTTCATTTTTATTCCTAAACACATAATAATAATAGAACTGATATAAATTCTGTAACGAATTATCTTTAACTTACTTATTCCAATAATTCAAAACGCCTGGACCTTCTGTTACTGAATGTTCTTGTTGGTTGGTAGTCAATGTTTGAGAAATTTGTTTTCCAAATCTATAAAGTGATGCCAGATATGTTTTGAATATTTTCTAAGATAAGTTTTTATACTAACAAACGCAAGAAATATGTGAAGAGAGATTGAAACAATTGTGAAAGATTAAAGCTGGAAATGTAACTATTAAAGAAAGATTTGTCAAGACATATGAGACATAACTATGAATTTCTTTTACTCTTCTTTGATGGAAATATTACTTTTCAATATATATTAAACTTTTTGATATTAATCGAGGATATTTACTAAGTCACATGATAAATGCTATTTACCTATTGTTTTGTTCCTGTGAGGAATTTGTTGAATTATTTTTATCTTTGTTTGATGACATTTTTAGATAGATTTGAGTTATTGTAAATCTAAAATCATAAATACGAATGTAGATCGAATTGTCTGAAATGAATAATATAAAAATGTACATAATTGAATTTTATCAATAATTTCCGTTTATACAGGGAAATATGTTAATCGTCATGCAAAGTTATTTCTAATTTTCTTGTCATGTAGGAATAAAATTTAATTCAATAATCCAATAGGAAATACATGAGTTTGATTATAATCTACCAAACACAAAACAAAATCGATTGTTTTTCATCGAAAATCACATAACTACTAGGAAGATTGAATGTTCGTCTAGGTGACAGACACAATACTTTTTAATATAAGTCAATTTTTCGGAGAAATTTTGAAAGCTTTCTTCCCACTAAGATAAATAAGAGAACATTATGTTGGTTTTTTTTTGAAATAAATTAAAGTAGAAAAAAAAATCTTAAGCAAAGAAATGCAAATAGATACGATTAAGTGAGAATGGTAGTTGAGAAGAACGAACGGAGAACAAGTTTATTGGTGTATACTCAAATTGATGATAGATGTCGAGAAACATCGTCTAGTATTTGTATAAATATAATGAATTTTTTTTTGCAAGTTCATCAAATAAATTGAATACGATCATCTTTTTAATATTAAAACAGATTCTCAAATACGAATTTATTTTAATCAATATTACATTAATTCTTAGAAGCAAAAATGTATTATAAATACAGCGTAGGTCAATAAAATAAGATATGAAGTATACGACATACATATATTTAAAAATAAATTTTTGATTAAAAAACATCAATCTTTTTTACAGTAAGGTTCTGTTACAAACAACGAATAATAATTGGTACATATACTGGTTATGATAATTGTAAAATTTATTCTAGTGTTTATTACTCGAAAAAATATTTGTTGGTGGATGAATATATAAAGCCGGCGCTCGTTGTCTGTGACCTGGCCTTGCTGATGAGTTGGTTTGTAATTCGACGTTAATTTGATTGTGTTTAAATAAATATAGCAATAATTGTTTACATTCTTGACGAAGTGTTTTCGACGCTAAGAGATGAACATAAAATATTGAACATGAATTCAGAAAAATCAAAAAACTAAGTACTAAATAACGAATAAAATTTTCGATAGCTACACGATCTGAGGTCTTTGAGACATTTGCTGTAATAGTTGTATAAGCAGTATATATTGGATACCATATTGTTGATAGAAGATAAACAATTGCTTCACTTATTACTATAATCATCAATTGAATATCTTCTTTTTTCATTTTCCTTCGTGAATTTTCATTTCCATTAACATGCTCATCGGTTGCAGCAACACGAGCACGACTCTGTCGAATATTTCGAATAGCCCAAAACGAAAATATAATCATTATTGATAATGGAATAGAAGTAACAATAATTGCATAAAAACTATAAAAGATCTGATAAGAACCGCTGGTTCCACATTTACCACTTGATTGAACATTGGTATAAACCATGACATGTATTGGTATAAGTAACCACAGAATAATTGTTATAATCACCAGTATAATAGCTATACCACGATGATTCAGACGACGAATATAAGCATGACGTGAACATAGAGCAAATCGATCTACGCAACCTAACGCAACACTGAAACGTGACATCATCAAAAAGGCATGGGTTGTATATGCTCTGGCTTTACAATATGCTGATAAATATGAGGCTGGATCCTTTGCTAAATAGGAACCTGCGATGACCGGTGTAATACCAATTAGAATTACTAATAAATTAAAAACCGATGTTGCTTGAAAATAAACGGAACAGGAAATTTTACGAAGTTTTTTTTTACAAAATATAATAAAATTAAGAAAACAACCAATAATACCCAATATGCTACATATGATTAAGACATAGCGACTTAAAATAAGTTGTGCCAATGTAAGATCATCCGTTAATGTCATTGATTTATTCTCTAAAAATCAAAGTAAGAAAAATAACATAGAATATATTCTAATTCACCGAAGTCATTTTTTACGACGATTCTAATCAAACTATAAGCAAAGAATACTTTTTATAAAACATACTTACCGATATTACCACACTTGAAGTTCAAATACAAATAAAATGTACATTATTTATACATGATAGATTCGTATTGATCTCTCTTTTTAGAATGTTAAAATATAGACTAAGTACGTCATTGTATTATAATGAGGAGATAAATATATTATGCTTGTTGTTAGTAAAAGATATCAATAATATAGATTCTCAACCGGAAACTACTTATAAATCTTTACTTATCTACGCAAAACGCCTCTATTCAATAAGAGCATGATATACAGATTAATAATTGCTCTTAAATCTAAAAAGAAAAAGAAAATGTGACAGCATCTTTGAATTCATCTGCGTTTAATTAATGATAAAAAATAAATATCCTAGATAATACGAATAACCTTCATTTCAATTAAAAAGAAACACGTAATTATAAAGTCATGCTATTTCATATATTGTTTAAAAGGAACATTAAAGACTGAAGTATTAAGTCATTTTAGAACCAAAAAAGTCTCGATTAGTGGTTTAATTACAAATAAGTACAACTATATATAGTTGACATTTCGATATTCTTTTTAAATGATGCATAAGACAGAATCACAATCGATTTTACAACAGACATATTTCGACGTATATTTACTTCAATAAAATTTCTTACAGAATATTTTCTAATTCATCATTCATATAATGAGAGGAAAAACTATTTTTAGTTATTTTTATTTCAAAAGTATCACAGACAAATGTATTTCGGAGAACAATCTGCTACTTAATCTCGTTTTCGCCAACTCAGTATGTTGAGTATAGATTATTTTCGTAATAAACAAAATATCATTAGTCATGTGCATTACTTAAGCATGATAACCAAAATCTTAAATTCGCAAAAGAATTATTTATTTGACTAGACAAGAAAAATCAGATGTTTAATTATTTGAATTGTCACACACCATTTTACAAGTTGATAAAATGCAATAAATCTAACTAAAAAACAAGATATTAATAGAAACTTCGCATTTAAATTTTCATTAACAAACTCATTGTTCCATATTACGAACATTTAAACTGCCAGATCAAAGAATAGTTATAAATAGAACACGTTTTATTCCAGATTCATTGATGCAAACGAAATTAACATACTGTTTTTATGGATATCTGTACGATACGATCAATATATTTATCGATATAATTTAATTTTTTCTTACAATATGCATTCTATCTGTTACAGAGAATAAAATTATATATACTTCTTTTGGTCATCAGTTGATCAAAATTTAATAAGGCTGATTACCAGCGTTAATTTGTTATTATATAATTCAGTGAAAAAAATTAATTAGTCTTAATAGTGGTCCAATTAATACATCAAAACAATGTACTAAAAGAATTTTGTATATTGTAACTGGCTAGATGGAATTTGATCTTTACTAATACTATTTTTAACTTCATAGTTTATAAGCATATACATTTTAATTGGAGACATGTTCTCATACTTAATATATGACCTCTTGACTTCAAAAATAACTATCTAAGCTAATTTTTCAACAATAAGTTTTGTTCTATAAGGACTATTGTAGCGTATTGACGATATTTTTCATTGAATTAATACTATTCCCTATGAGCAAACTATTCAACATGGAACATCTCAAGAAATATTTATAGTACGAACGATATCAAAATTTAATATTGACGAATAGTGTGACAGTTCTGATGAAATGAGTGAATGTATTTTCTATTAAACATACAACCAATACTCGTTCTGTCATTTCTTTCTATATCTGATTTGATTTCTTCTGAAGATCATCTACAAAAATTGTCATTACAAAATTTAAAGAAAAGAATACAGAAACTTCAATACAGTATCATTGACTTATGCAAAGTACTATTGGAATAACTTGAATTTTTTCTTAAAACAGTATTTATATCTTACGTATAATTTTAAATGATGACAAAAATGTATTCTTAGAATTTTGCAACGTCTCAATACAAATATTCTTTGATTATCATCGTTTTCTCATCATGACACTCGATTTCGTTTCTTTGAAAAATAAAATATTGTAAATCAACTTGTTTATTTGTTACATATCCACGTTAAATTTTTTTTTCCATAAAAATAAAAGAAAAAACTCGTTAGATGTCTTTATCATCATCATCAAATGAACATTGGCTTATCGTCACTATGATCAATAACAAAAGAAGAAGAAAAAACAAGTTCATACTCAATGTGTCAATCAATATCAACCGTATCACAATACATAAGCACCAGTTCCCGACTATTCGTCCTATTTTCCCGTATCTAACCGAAAATACTGCTGTCTTTTTGATCTATTTGATTGTTTTCAGAAAACAAATTCTATGTATACCAGCGAATCTCTTTTCAAAGGATATCATTTGAATCTTTAAAATCTAAATATTCCGATGGTTGTTGAATGATCAATATCAGTACAAACTACCAAATGGTCTGTTGTTCCTTTTTCCTCTTTGATCATTGTCAATCAACAGATGAGCTTAGGTGTATTAATTAGTCTGTCCTTTTTTCTATCTTTTGATGTTCTTCTGTCGATTATTATTGTCTTCTGTATTATGATTGGCGAGGAAAATTAAAAGACATTTTTCTTTTCTATGAATAGTGATGTTTAACATTCGAATTGCTATCATTCGTTTAGAAATCATTTGCAAATATTCATCGTTATACATTTAATAGGTTAAGTAATCTATAATTCTTTTTTGTGTTCAGTTACTTGCTTGTTATTTATTCTATTTAGGATTTCTCTTATGGATCCATATTATTCATCACCATCATCTTATTATTATCAACCATCATGTCCGTTACATGATTCATCTTCATCATTTTTATCTGATTCTTATACTGATCCTTATTCATCATATCCATCTCAATCAACATCATATTATTATCCATCTTATAATGATCAAACATCATCACCAATTCTTTTTTATAATAATTCAACAACTAATATTTATGCTCAACCAACACATTCATTTCCACAAACGAATATTCAAGTTTCTTCAACAAATACACAAACTATTCGTGCAACATCATCATCATTAAATTCAACATTTGAATCTGGTATGATATATATTATTATCATCATATTTTGTATTGAACGATTATATTTTAGTTGCACCACCAGGACGTCGTCGTCGTCAACGAACAATTTTTTCAAAAGATCAAGTCGATATTCTTGATCAAATCTTCGAACGAAATCAATATCCTGATATACAACTTCGTGAACAATTATCTGAACGACTTGATGTTCCAGAAGCTCGTATTCAAGTATGAATAATTTATAAAAACATAAAAATATTTACTAATTGTTCTATTATTATAGGTATGGTTTAAAAATCGTCGTAGTCGTGCTCGTACAACAACCAAAACTAAATATCAAAATAATTAAATCGTCGAATTTATTTCACGTGTGAACTTCTGTATTTGTTATTTTAGTTAATAAAATTTTGTTAAGAAAAAACTATTTTTATATATCTAATTGAAGCTTGATGTGAAAAGATACAGCTGCTTTTGTTGCTTAGACGGTAAAGAAAAGGGCAGTTTCTTATTATGAAGATAAGTAGAATGAATGATATAGAACAAATTTTTATTAATGATCAAGTTCGTCTATTACGAAAAAGTCGGTTTGCTGGTTGTTGTGTGACAATTAGTTTACTTATTGCTCCGATCATATGTATAGTTGTAATATTGCGAACAAGCAATAAAGTTGTAACAGAATTAAAACAGGATTTATTATGGTTTCCTTCAGCAGGTAGTGAATCATGTATACGTTTAATGGATATTGATGGTGATGGACTTGATGATGTGATTGTTTCATTAACTGATGTAACAACAATTGCGAATGAAGAAAACAAGGATGAAAATCATTCTTTATTTTGTAAATCATTCGATGTTGAAGAACCATGTAGTGGTACTGTATATGGTATACGTGGTCATGATTTTAAAATATTATGGTCATTTCGAATTAAACAATCTATATTCGAACTTGTTTGTGATATGATCGATATTAATAATGATGGTTATAATGATTGTATTGGTGCTGGACGTCAAGCTACTGTGGTTGCATTTGATGCTCGTCATGGTAAAGTTATTTGGGATAGTAGACAAATAAAATCACGACATTTATTATGGAATTTTTATAATCCTATACTTCTTTCAATTGATGTTGATCAAGATGGTATGAATGATATATTGATTTCACATGGTGGTAATCCAACAATACCATCGAACGTACATGAACGTGAAGCAGGTTGTTTAATAATTATATCTAGTCGAAGTGGACATCAAATAGGCGAACCATTTTTTATGCCAGATGGAAAAGAAACATATATGTCACCCGTTTTATATGATAAATCAACTGTACTTTTTGGTACCGGCGGTGAAACAGTAGCAGGTGGATTATATAGTATATCAATAGATAATATTATTCAACAAAAAAATCAATATGTAACATTAGTTAAATCATTTACGAAAGGTATTATGGTACCACCAATTGTTCTCGATATTGATTATGATGGAATTGATGATATTCTTGTTAGTTGTTTTGATGGAACATTAGAATTAATTCATGATAAAACAATGAGACCATTATGGACAAGAATATTTGATGGATTTGAATTTTATGCATCACCAGCACCAGGTGATTTTAATAGTGATTCATTTGTTGATTTTATGATCATAATTAATTATGGTATGATGATTAAATATTGTAGAAATAATTAGATAATATTTTTTTGTTGAATATCTAGGTGAATGGGATCGTTATGATTATAGTCAAGTATTAGTTATTGATGGTTTAACAGGTGAAACAATTTGGACAAGAAATAATACTTTCGGAGAATTTACAGCTCCATTAACTCTACAAATGAAGAAAAAAGGTAAATATCAAGATGGTTTTATTTATCGACAACGTGGTCAAACAACTGAACGTGAATATTCAAATGCATCAACGATATTAATTCATGGAATTGGTCTTCAAGATGGAGAAATTTCGAAGTAGATTTTTAAAAACACTTTAATCATACTTTTGTTTTATGAAATTATTATTTTAGAGATGATAACTCAATTTCATTGAATTCAAATGATCTATGTGATACATTCAAGTTAAACGATTCAATTAGTAATATATTTCTAACAAATATTGATGAAACTCGTTTAATCGCTTCAATTTATCCTCCAATAAATGACGAAAATGATATTTGTAGTAAATTCGAACCTATGGAACGATCTGGCGGTGCTATCGGTGATGTTAATGGTGATGGTATTTTCGATACAATAGATCTGACAACATTTATTACCAAATTAACATCACATAGTTTAGAAAATTTTATTGTTCACTCCGTTTTAACAAGATTCTCATTAGATTTATCCAACAATGAAAATCAAATAGTCGCAAATTATCAAGCAGATATATCAAATAAAACAATCAACAATAAAAAACTTGTTCAATTATTAATCGATAAAAATTCTTCACTAACAAAATCATCTCTTCACAATAAAGATTTATCTATTATTCCCAAACAAACATGGAATGCTTATTTAGGTCGATTTGCTAATAGTCATTATTATCGAAATATTTAATTCTATAAATGTAAATTTATTCTTAAAATAAATCATCGTGAATATACTAAATATAAAGTGCAAGAAAAAGAAAGTCAATTTTTATTATTAAACAATAGTAAACATTGGTGGAATTGTTTGAATGATTGTTCCACTGATATTTGAAACAATTTGTGTTGTTAATGAATAATTATATAAAACATAAACATTATTTTTTAAGATACTAACTTGACCATCTGTTAAATTAGCTAATTGAATATAGATCGGTGTCGTTGTTACATTACTTAATTGATTTATTAATTGATTACTTCGCTGATTCATACATTGATTATCACAACTTGTCGAATAATTTACTAAAAAATCGACTATGACATGAATTGTACTATTTAAATACCTAGAAGAAAAATATTATCTTTATTTTTCATCTGAATTTCTCTACCAAAACTGTAACGTAATATGATTGATTGTAATATTAAGTGCATTAGACCCATTAGTAAATTGAATTTGTCGTTCAATCTTATGAAATAAATAATAGACATTGATAAGAAAAATATTATATCTTACTATTTGTAGTAATTCAGAATACATTGTCATGGCTCCGAGAAATGAAACTGGTCCATCATTTTGATTTGCTGAATTTTGTGTAAGTGCTTCATCTAATGTGGCAAAATAATTACTTTTTGATGTTGTAACAATTAATGTATAATTATTTGCAAGAAATTCTATAGAAATTAATTGATTTTCTTTTTTTTTTTAATTATCAAAAAATTTATTTCTACGAACTATTACTAATTTGAATTGATTGATTTGTTGCACTATTATCGATTTGATTAATAAATTGTGATTTAGACACAATTTCTATACAAATAAAGAAAATAAATATTGAAATAGATTCGTAGCATACTTGTAATAATTATTATATCTTGAATCGGAATATTTGGAGTATAAACGATCGTTGGATCAGAAAGTATATAAGAAAGATTTGAATATTGAATAAAAAAATTTATGCGTGTCGACAATTGGTTATTGGAACCTAATCCTTGAAATATATTTAATTGACGAATTTTATCACAGGATATACATTCTCGTGTATATACAATCAAGAAATCCAATGTAACACTAGAAATTAATTGTATAATATATATATATATTTGCTTTACAATACCTCATATTAGTTGTATCACTAGTATTTGATGTCATATCTAATATTGAAATATTAAATTGATCACGATTATCACTAGCTTTTAATTGTTGTTCCAGCTATATGAAATTATTGTTTTTTTGTCGATAGTCATATTTAACTTACTGCGTATTGTATTGATATATTTGTTACCATTTGAGCTTGATCTAATGTTAAATTATTGGTTAATGATGATGTTAAATCTCGTTTTCCTAATGCTCGACTCATATATAACGTATAATTATCCATTCTAACAGCTTTAACAAAAAAACACGAGACTTTTCTTTTTGTTCTTACGAAAATCAATATTTCCTACTAGTTAGAACAAAATTCGTTTTTTCTACTGATTTATTTTCTATATAAATCGGAATAATTGACAGGACAATCATTGATGCCATGCAAAATGCGAAACCAATAAATATAAACATTGTTAATGAAGGTATCATCATTTGTAACCAATATTTTCTAAGAATAATGATATGTCAATATTAATAATTGTTCTGCAGAACTTACATTGATTCAATTGTTTGTCTTGTTGATAAATTCATAGTACGATTGATAATTATAAATAAAATTTTCTTGAACAATTTATAGTCTCCTTTTTTTTCTCTTAATTTGATTGTATGATAAACATATGAATAATATACCTTTTACGAACATTTTTACTTTTTAGATATTCATAATTGATATTTATGATTTAGAACATTAGATTGGGCTTCTTTTTTTTCTTGTTATAAGAATGTAAATGTTAGAAATAAAATGATTGGTATCATATTACTTAAAAGAAGTGTTTGTTACGAATAACTTTTCAAAATGAAAATATAAGTGACTTTTTACTTGTAGTAGACACGAACAAATTGAATTAATGCAAGGTTATAAAAGAACAAGTGAAGCATTTATTGATAGAAAACGACAGACATTTAAAAGTAGTAATGTTACATTAATTAATGAACAAAATGAAATAATTCATCATGATATACTTAATTCAATTGTTCAGTATGATCCAAAACTTGATTTTACTTGTATACCAATTATGACTCATGATCCAATTCTTAAATATATACGTCGACAAACATATGGTTTAATTTGGAATTCAATTCGATCACCAACTATAAGTAAACTCGTACAGAATGATCGATCTTATGCATTTGTAGAAATTCTTCAAATACCAAAAACATGGTCACGTTATGATATTGATATTCTTCTTCTAAAAATTCAAAAGAAAAATTTTCTTAATGGTCTTGTTCTCCGTGATGAATTTGTGCGTGTACTCCAAATAGTACTTAAAAATAATTATTCTTACAAATTTTACAATATTAATTTTACTCGAAATACGATTCAATTAATATTTCATAGTCAACAGGAAACAAATGTAACACTTATTATTTCTTTTATACTTTTAATTGAATTTGATATTCCATGTATAAAATTTTTTCCTGCTGATATATATACATCTCTTTGTAATCATAATGATATCGAAGAATATTTTAAATCGAATTCCGATATTAAACTAACACGTTTAACATCATATAATTCAATAAAATTTCATTTTGATTATAATATCACGGAAACAAAATTATGTGAATATTTATTAGAAAAATCAAATTCATTATCATTAATATTAAACAATTTTTTAAAATTACGAAAACAATGGTTAAAATATGTTCCACATGTAGCAAATATAATTAAAAGACAAATACATTATCGTCCATCAATATGTTCAATTAATTCTCTACAATCCATAACATCAAATAATTCAGGTATAAAAACTATTTTCTTATTGAAATTTCATAATTTTATTTTATAGAATTTATGCCAAATAATATTTCATTATCAAAAGAAATTGAAATGCAATTTGAATCTTTATTTTCTCTATCATTAATTCGTTTATTATTTTTAACTATTTGTTCACAATATAAACAATTCGATAATTATACTATTGAACATGCTTTAGAATTATTTAATGATGCGCTAGAAAATAATTATCTTGAACTTCCATTTCTTAAAAATATAAATACTTTACCAGATTGTGAAATAAATATTAAACATGGAATAAAAAAAATAATTAATGAAATGCAGCGTGATTGCAAACAACAAATATATCGATAATAAACTTCTTAAAAAAATTTGTTTTTCTGTTTATTGCATGTTTTTATATTTTTATATGTTGAATAAAAACAGGAAAACAATGCAGTTGTTTTCATGAGAATTATTACTCGAGAACCTAATCAGTCAATATATATGTATTTGCATAGGAGACCTGTTGCTCTTTTATAATCATAACAGAACACACTATAATAGAAAAATAAAAAAGATAACCTTGAGCCTTCATTTATGCCATTTTAAAGAAGAAGAAGAAGAAGAAGAATAGAAAGAGAGAATATTAAAAAGCGAAAGATCGATAAGCAACTAACGTGTATTTTTTTGTCAACATAAGAATCCATCAGTCAAACTCACGTGTATATTTATTTCTCTAGTGACATATTTTTTTTCTCTGAAATAAGTTTACGTATAAACACCTCCGCTTGTTTCTTCCTGTTGGTATTTTTTATAAAAAATAACCAGACGGCTTCTTCGCTTCGTCATTATCATCATCACTATTTTTTTTCCCTCTCTCTCTCTCCTTCTTGCTTTTTTTCTTGTCATGCACCTTTTTATGAATGACGAAACGACGACAACAACGACATCCCTCCTGACAACGACACTGAGGTGGAAAGTATAAAGAAAGTTGACGTCAAAAGTAGGCAACAAACAATTGACATTCAAACAGAAACATTCATATAATCTTTTTGACGACAACAAAAAACAACTATGCTTGCATCATTCATGTAGTTAAAACAATACATAAGGTAAGCGCACATATATTCCCAATGAAACATATATAATTGATATTTAAAAAGAAACGCTTTTTTTCTATTTAAGAATTATGTAGTCAGATTAACGATTAGTATATTTTCATGTCCTTGTAATATATATATTAGATATGTAATAGTATACTTGCGTCAACTGTAGAGAGAGAGGAAAAAATCAATTTATTTTTTTTTAAATTATTTATTAAACCTTGACTTTATTGGAACTATGTATTCTTTTCTTTTTATTTGTATCCGATTATTGTTGTGAATTAATCATTCCTTCTGTTGCTACGTGCTATTCGCAAAAAATAATCATTTGTCGGATGCCGCCAGACGGCGTATTTTTTATAACATAGATTCTCTTTTTTATTGATACACGGACAAAAAAAAGGCGATTGTAGTAAAAGAGAAAAGATTAACTAATAAAATAAATGGCACAATAAAACGCTTCAATAAAACAATGAACTATAATCAGAAGCAGATCTTTCACATATTTGAAAGAAATACTTGATTTTCCTTTCATTAGTATAATGTGCTCTTGAAAAATATCTCATGAAAAGAATTTTTTTTTATAACCTTCGTTTGTCGTCATAATAAATTTAAAATGTATGAACATAAAGAAACAATAGAAGAAATTAGAAAAGAAGAATCAACACTTTGTGACAAACAGAGAACAGCTTATTTTAATATGTTTAAATGCATATAGATATTATTTTTCTTTTAAACAATGAAAATGAATAGGTTATTATGCTAACGGGTAGGTCGTTTATTTTTTCTTCTTTAACTTTGAAATTATAATCTTTCATTGTCATAATCGAAATGATAATGTGTGATTGAGTACAAAAGCAACTGTCAAAGTATATATATATCATCAAACGAGATTTAGAAAAAAGATGTGTAAGAAGTTTTTACTTTTCTTTTTTACGATTATATATAGATACACAGTTATAAAGCGTGAAAGAAAAATCAATCACTTCACTTATATGTTTTCATTATAGTTAAAAAATTCACTCTTTTTTTTGTCTTTTGTAAGCTAGTGTGTGTATATATAAATCGTATTCGCTTCGTTTCTTTCGTCGCACTCCTAAATATAAAACCTACTTCTTTTTTCTCTCTTTCTTATTGTACACATGTATGAGGAAAGGCTACACCATACATACATCGACAAGTTTTTAACACACACATACATACTTATACTCTCTTACATATGCGCACAGTTTGAGCTCATTCTCTATGTTGACACAATTTTTGGTCGCGTCGGCTACTGTTAAATATATATCTATATATATGTGTACGCGTTGATCTTGAACTATACAACGAAATATGTATTGATGGCAAAGAAAAAGAAAACGATATATGTAGAAGATGAGTATTATAATAGTTGAAGGTACTAGCTATTGTCAACTCAATCAATGAACAATTATTTTAGTACAATGTTGGCAATATGTTTATGGTGACGTCAGATTGACGAAAAATAATGGATGAGCGTGAGTCAATAGATTATCCTTGATAATATAAAGACAAGGTTCTTCTCTTGTGATGTTTTAAGTCGATGTAATGACTAGACACATTTTGAATGATGATATAGCATAATCATTAGAGAAGGATGAATGAGTCAGATCAATAAAGAAAAAATTATATCTAATCAGGTGTAAATAATACATTGAAAACAGTATAAACATATATATATAATTATTAGTATTTTGGTGACGTGAAATAAACGTCCTTTAAATCGATACATGTAATTTTGAGAAATTGAATAATTATTTTGATATTTTTGATTTTATTCTATATATAATTATTTATTTTTAATATTTAGGCGTGCCATCCGCTCTTCCTTAGCGGTCTCCAATGACCGAGAGTTATTTAACTACAGATATTATTGTTATTATTGTTTTAGTCGTCGTATTAGGTATGTTAAGAATTTATTTTAAAAAAATCATAAATATTTAAAATTTCTTTTTTATAAATTTGATTTAGTCTTAGTTGGTGTATGTGCCTTTTTTACACATTTTTACTGGACAAAAATTGGCGTTTCTGAAATATGGAATACAGCAAAATGGAGTTCAATGCGCAGTTCAGTATATCATACAATGCGTCGTTTAAGTCGAGCAAGTAGTAGTAAATATGGATCTGAACGTCCGTTTTCTGCAGCATCAGCATATTCGGAAGATTCAGATGGTAGTGCATTACCAGCTCCTTTACGAAATAAAAAACCTAATACGAATGCTAATCCAAATACTCCTTCTCCAGTTCCTCCTCCTCCTCCCCCATCACAACCTCCTGATATTCATTCATCGACACCAGTAACTAATGATAATAATAATGTACGTCGAAATTCACGCAATCAAGTACAACCGGTTTCTACAATAGCATATAATAATACAGGAAGAAAGAATTATGGAATTAAAATAGGACAACCACTTGAAAGTACACAAATTCGTAATGTACATGAGAACGACGATAAAAATAATGGTATAACTCCTACTGTTGAAACACATCGTTTTTAAAATTAATTTTAATTTTCATCTTATGATAAAAGCTTTTTTCCTCCTTTCAATCATCTCTTTTTCTCAATATATTGGTGATATACGACTTCACCCTGGTGATATAAATCTTTTGTTCTTTATTTTTGTCATTTTATGTGTTCATTCAATAGATGACTTATCTATTCTCTTTCTCTTTCTCTTTCAGTTTTTTTTCTTCTCTCTATTTTTATGATGTATTACTATTGTTATTAATGATGATGACGACGATCGCTCGACTATTTTTTTTTTGTTTTGTTTTTTTTATGTGAATATGCATGCGCTGGTGTCTTTCGGTGATATCTGTTGTGGCTTATAAATGCGTTTGCATAAAAAAAAAGTATATATATATAAAGCTCAAATAAAAAAAATACCAAAGCAAAATATGAGATTTTAAAATAATCGGACAAAAGTTTATTATACAAAATAAAAACAGATCACAGTTATACATGAGGCGGAGGAGGAGGAGGAGGATGACTAGTTAAAGATGATGATTGTTCACTTTCCATACGTTCGGTTATATCTACTGAAGTATTTTCATAACCTAAACCTTGTCGATAATTACGATAGTCAATTTGTACGGGTGCTGTAATACCATTTTGATTAACACCGAGACCATTACCAGGTGTCCAACCAATTTTTTCTAATAATTGATGACCAATATTAGTTGCATCAATTGGTGCAATAATTTCATCTGTTAATTAAAAGGTTACACAATGAAAATAAACATATAAAAATAACTTACTATGTTTATGATGATCACTTTTAACTCGCTTATGATTATAACTATTATGATGAGAACGACGAGATTCTTTTAATAAACGAATATGACGTTTTAAATGAGGATGTGTATAAGCATTCTAGAATAAAATTTTAATATTTAGATTAAGAAATAAATATGTAAATGTTAAAGATAGTTTTACTTTTAGGTCTATCAATAGCCTTGAACTAAATCAAATAGTTAAATGTTATCGAAATTATAATTACATTTATGAACTATAACTACAGATATGAGACTAGACGTAACATAGGTTAAGAGAATAAAAAATCATGGTCATGATGTATTCGGATAAATAATTATTTTCTTTTTTCTCGATTTTATTAATCTAACTAATTAAATGAATCTATAAAGCAAGTCTTACAAATGTAATTTATTTCTTAGGTCTTCTATTAATTTAATAATAATGATCTTCCTAGAGGAATATCAATAAATAGAATCTTTTGAAGATAATTGATTTAATTCTATCTTACTTTCATGCCAAGATTTCTTCGATTTCCTGTTAACATTTCTCGATCGACATAGGATTTAATTCGATTTTGTATTGTATTTTTTGAATTCGTTAACATCATACTAAGTGCACCATTAACAATTTTTTGTAAAGTTCCGTCAGTTGTTGTTAACATCTTTTCATCATTATTATTATCATCATCATCATCATTGTCTGATTTATCATCGTCATTATCTTCCCACCATGATATAACACGTGGTATACTACTTTCATCTCTTGGCCAATCGGATTGTTCATCATCAGCTTCATTACTTGTCAAACATGGATCTTTATCACTGTCACTTAAATTCAAACTACTACTACTACTGAAATTTGTTCTAGAAAACAATAATAATTTTAAACTAGAAAATCTTCTAAAACTTACAAATTAGGATCATCTATACATGTCATATCATAATCATGTAGACTATTATTACGTATACGAAAATCATCTTGAACTATTGTACGTGATCGTTTACGTTTACCAATATAATTCGAATGGTTCATAGCTAATGAAAATGCTGCTGCTGATGATGAAGATGGTGTTGTTGTATTTCTATCAATATCAAGTATTCGAGAACTACTTTCACTTCGACAATTACGTCGTCGACGACGTAAAGGTGTACTTATTGTTGCTGTATGAGATATTTTTACACTTGGACAACGTGTCAACTGAATAGATTGTTCCGTTTTTAATATAGATGTTGATGTAGGTGGAATAATTGGCTTTTTAAATGGACGACGACGTCGTCGTATTTCATCAGCTTGTAAAGCTGAATCAGATTCTGATGCCGTAGCTAATGATGATGATTGAGTTTCTAAAAAAAAACACAAATAATTCATTTTTTTGCTTTTATTATTTTTTCAAAATTACTAGATGGCATTGGCATATCATCACTATCACTAACAATCGATTGTTTATTTCGACTTTGACTATTTTCTGGTGTTGTACTATCTGATGCTTCAATTTTATATTGTTGCATATCATTATTAATTGGACGTTTTCGTCGTCGTTTGATTTTTGATGTTGTTGCTGATGATGTTATTGGAACATTTGATAATGATGATGTTAATATATTTGCATCATTTAATGCACTATTTAGATCAGCAGCTAATTGATCCATAATCTTTTTTTGAATACAACGAATTTTGTCTTTGATTAAAAAAACATGAGAACTTTCATCCATTCGAATAGAAATTTATGAAATATCTTGTTTAAGAATATTTAATAGAATATTCAATGCACACTTAAACATCTAAAATATAAATTTCAAGACTCTAACATAGAGACTACAAAACTTTATTTCTCAAATCTTGTGTTGAGAACTTTGCATCAATTTGTATCAGATCTTTTCCTATAAAAAAAGAATGACTAATTGAGATAGAATATGCAGTTTGTTTACTATGAAAATTCTACATATGGCGATTAAAAAAACAAATATTTATTTTAAGTACGTATATATAGACAACTGCTATTGATATATCACTTATAATAATAAACGATCAATCAATAAATCTACTAGTACTATCCTTCTTAATATTATCTAGAATAGAAAACAAAATAAACATATGCTTCTTCCCATATTTTCCATAGATAGTTTATCTAGAATAAATTTAGAAGTTGACGATTTTTAAACTTTTTCTTATAGAATATAAACATTTATCTCTGCTTTTGATAAAAAGATGCTTTTGTTCATTATTCAATAGAAATTGAAAATTTTCGTATTCATATTTGTTATTCGATGAATTAGAACAAAAAAAAAGACAATAGTTTATATATATTTATATATATATATATAAGAATAAATGTGCACACGTTGAAAGATGAGCATAAACTCGTGACAAGAACAAAAAAAAGAAAAAGAAACGAAAGAGTTATTAATTCCATACAAAGAGATAAGGATATGCAGGAATATATTGAGCAAAAACACAGATGCCGATTAAATCGAACAAAAGAAAAGTTTTCTTTGTATACATATATTTATGGATGCACAACTCGATTACCAACAAAAGGAATATTATTGCTGTTGTTGTTGTTGTTGTTGTTCTAATTTATATTGAAGTTCTAATGATATACGTTTATCAATTAGATCAGTAAGTCGATCTTCCCAATGTTTAAGCTGTGCTTTAAGTACAGAATTTCGAGTTTTTGTTTGATTTAATGCTGTATGAAGATTTTCAATTGTAGTTGTTGATGGTGTGGATATAATTGATGCTAATTCTTGTAAATGATCTGGTTGAATTAAATCACGTATTTGTCCAAGTAAAATATTTGGATCAGATTGTTGAGGTGTCGATGCTATTGATGGACGTGTTCGATTATAAAGATATGGTGTAGTATTTGTAGATGAACTACTATTACTATTATGATTTGTTGTCAATGGTACGTTACGTTGAGGTGTATCATTAACTATTGTACGCGGTGGTAACATTGGTTGATGAGCAACATCAATAGATGCTGTTCGACCAGGTGCACGTGGTGGTGGCGGAGGTGGCGGTGGTTTTACTGTTGTTGTTGTTGTTGTTGTCGTAGGAGCAACAAATAGTGGTGGTAATGGCGGTGGTGGTGATAGACGAAGAGCAACTGGTGCTACAATACGATGATTGTCAGCAATTGGTGGTCCATAACTAAATTGTTTTGGTGAATTTGGATTTTCATCGTTATTTAAAGTTATATTATTTGTTATTTCACTGTTTGAATTTTTAAAAGTTGCCCAATTTTCTGATTGTTCATTGATTTGTGGTAGATTAGTTATTGAATCAGATAAATCAATAAGTGGTGTATATGGTTGTAATTGTGGTGGAAGTTCATCGGGTAATTCAAAACCATTGACACGTAACACTACAAGATGCATTGCTGTACAAAATTCAGCAAGTGATAATGCACCATCATGATTAACATCAGATAAATTCCATATTTGAGATAATTCAGTTGTTAGTAAACGTGAACGTTCAAAAAATTCTTTTGCTATATTACCTAAAAAATGAAAAAAAAAACAATTTTCTTTTCTTCTCCCATTTAATTAATTTACCACTAATAAGTTTAGTTATATCTGGTTGTATATCTTTAAATTGTTTAGTATAATATTCTCGTTGTACAGTATTTATTGTCCATGGATCATCAACAAAATCTTGGTCACTATCATCATCATCGGATATACTTGATGACGATTCATCATCATCACTTTCACTTGCTTCACTTGAACTTTCATTATGATGATGACGATGCTTATTATGACTACCATTACTTGGTTTTGTTAAATACATCGCCCAATCTTTTTTAAAAGCTGATGGTTGATGTTGAGATGTTGATGTTAACGAAGATGATTGAGCAATAGCATCATGTAAACGAGATGAGTTACTTCCAACTAAACCTTTACCTTCATCGTCAGATTCAATATATGATGATAAATGTTGAACACTATCTGATTGAGAACTAAGAATTGATATTGTATCAATATCTAATCGTGGATGAACATCAACCATTGGTATTGGTGGATGACGAAGTGTGACGCCATCACTGGTCGTCATTGTTTTGCTCACCGGTGCTGGAAATAAGATATATATATATATATATTTATAAATAACAGATCTTGAATGAAATAAAATACACAGTATGATATAAATTAACTAACAAAAAGAAAATGAATATTCAATACTAGTTTGCATACATGCTGTGATAGTCAATCAACAATACAAAATTTTTGTTTTTTCTTACTAACAAAGTTATTATTGATAATAATACATTTCTTTTTTTTTTCTTCTTCTTTCATTGACTCAAGAATTTATAAGACTGATACAAAAAGCTATTTTTGCAGACAGCAAAAAAAAATGAGAGAAGAAAAATAATATTTTTTTTTATGTGTACGACCTAATGGACAGGAAAATAAAAACGACTGATCTATCTCATTGGAATTAAGACGACAACGAATAAAATATATGATTCATGTTTGTCTTATTCTTTCGGTCAAGTGGTTCATCGGTGAACGAAACAAATTATAAGATAGTTTAATGTCGCTACGTTCATTGTATTCGCATACTATTATGTTAGATGTCACTAGTTATCGAATATGAAAAAAATAAAATTAGCTTTATATATTATAACAACTCGCATCGTTATGAATGGTTTCAATTGAGTATTCTCCATTATATAGAATTTTTCTTAATGACGTAGACAGGAATATGAACGGATTGAAACAGGATATGAACGATTCCGCACTAAAGAATAGATTTATATATAATTGAGTTTTCTTTTTTTTTGAGGTATGAAATAAGACATTTACACATTTTATTCATTTATTTTCTGATAGTTTACATTAAAAACAAAAATCAACAACTAATTAACATCGTGTTTGTGACCATGTTGGATCTAATATTGTTCCTGAAATAGTATAACAAGTATTAAGTACTACTGATGAATATTCTTCGATAAAAATTCTTTTATAAACAGCAATAAAAACTAAAGCTTTACATTCAACTTGATACCAAATAGCGTCAAATGGTATCTCTAATTTTGAACATTGTAAAATTGGAAATAAACCTGTATCATATCTTTGAATTTGAAGTTCATAAGTGAATCTTTGTGATTCAAAATAACATTTAGCTAAATAAACTCCATGATTACATATACGAATATAATTACTAATGGATAAATCAACATCTAAATAAATATAATAAAATTTATCGAAAATAAATTATAAAATATGATTTACTAGAAAGTAGAAGTAGGAGAAAGATGAAATACTTCGTCATGTTTAATAAAATCAAGCCTAAGAGAATATGAAACGAAAAAAGAATTTGTTCGTTTAATTGCTTCTTTGTGAATCTATATTCAATTACAAAATGGTAGGCATTGCAACAAATGATTGATATAAAAACAAAGTTTCATGTCAATCATGTTATGTAATTCAATTCAATAGATCTCCCGTTTAATAGATCTGAAAGATCGATCAATATTTGTAAAAATTGCTTGATGAATACTAATAAATCAGATATATTATGCTTATAAATAAGAATTTGAAAACTTTAGTTTTTAGAGCATGTTTCGATCGAAAACATTTGATCTATTATTTTTGGTGAGGTGTCAAAATGTCAAAAGTAGGTGGGTGTGGGTCTGGGTGTTAGTTTTGTTTAAATAAAATACTCACACTCATACCCAACTTACGACATTTTGTTCCTCGACTATCTGCACTGTCGACATTTTGATAATCCCAACTTTGGTCGAAAAAGAAAAATTTCGAAAGTTAGAAATATCGAAAGGTAAACATGTCGAAACTAAATTAGACAAACGTCGAAATATAAAAATATCGAAGACGTTGATTTTAGGGTATGGGTGTTGGTGTGGGTATGAGAGTGGCTAAATATAGATGAGTGTCTGTATTTACACCCATCCTCAAACGTCTTTCTTCGTTTGTCTCTTAAGTTGTTTCGAACACCCAAAGTCTTATAATTTTCATATTTCGGCTTTTTTTCTTCGATATTTTAATATTTCGACCTTAGTGGGGAGAATCGACATTTTACCACTTCCCCACTATTTTTATCTAATCAATCTGATATTCTCCCACATAGTGACTCATTGTACAAATGTAACATGGCATACTTTTCTGTTTTCATTGATGCACAATATGTGTGTTTGTTGTGAAATTACATATACAAGGTTATACTGTCACGTGCATGTTTCATTTTTTCTTTTTCCTTTACATCATCTACTTACATCATAAAATGTTGTTAAAGAAAAAACTAAAATATTTATTCGACATGGTTTATTACTGAAAATTTTTTTTCATCGATGTCAGTCGATCAATCCTCATCATCAACTTCGATTTCAGCTGCTGAATTAGAAACATGTATAAAAGTTCTTTCAAAATTTGAGTCGAATGATGGATATCCATCTATTGAATCCAAAGAATTTGATCAAATTCGACCAATAATACAAAATTTATTTCATATTGGAAAACGATCATCTAGAAAACAAAATAAGGTTCAACGACGTGAAAAAAGAGTCATCGATCAAAAGGCTAAAAACAAATGTCTACTCCGATCAAGTCGAGCAAAAAATCTTCAACAACTTCAATTAGAACATATTCTTGTACCTGATGGTGTTGCACAAATCGAACATAATGAAACTCATACACCACAACGATTAACTCAACCAATTAATTGCTACATATGTAAACTTAAATATCGTACATTACATTTTTTTTATGATAGACTTTGTCCATCATGTGCAACATTTAATTATGATAAACGTTTACAAACTACTGATCTTACAAATAAAATTGCGTTAGTTACAGGTGGTCGAGTTAAAATTGGTTATCGTATTGTTTTAAAATTATTACGTACAAATTGTTTTGTTATAACAACAAGTCGATTTCCAATGGATTTTTTAAATCGTTTAAATAAAGAACAAGATTTTGAACAATGGAAAGATCATATACATATTTATGGTGTCGATTTTCGATATTCAAAACTTGTCGAATTTTTTACACAAATGTTAATTAATAAATATGATCGATTAGATTTTATAATTAATAATGCATGTCAAACAATTCAACGAACAAATGAATATTATCAACATTTATTCACAAATGAAAAATTAACTAATTATTCGCTTTTATCTGCTGATGAACAAAAAATTCTCGATGGAAATTTACAATTTTATCAGCAATTAATACCCTGTTCTAATCGAAAACAAGATATATCATATCCTCTAGCATTACCATCCACATCAAATGATATGATTGTCGAAACATCTTCTACAATTAGTAATACTTCATTTGATGTAAATCAACAACCAATTGATTTTCGTTCAACAAATTCTTGGCTATTACGTTTAGATGAATTATCTACAAATGAAATAAATGAAGTTCTTGCAATAAATACTTTAGCACCATTTATTCTTAATAGTAAACTTAAAATATTAATGGGCGAAAAACATCCTAATCCTGAAAGTATTAAATTTATTATAAATGTTTCAGCTATGGAAGGTTCATTTTCTCGTGTAAATAAAACTGATCGACATCCACATACAAATGCTGCTAAAGCTGCATTAAATATGATGACACGAACATCAGCAATCGATTATAAACGATCAAATATCTATATGGTTTCTGTTGATACAGGTTTATTTTATTTAAAAGAAAACAAAGAGAATCTTATATTTTATTTATTCTTGTAGGTTGGATAAATGATGAGAAGCCAATAGAAAAAGCAATGAAAGCAATGATTAATCATGATTTTCAAACACCACTTGATGAAGAAGATGCTGCTGCACGTGTTTTAGATCCAATTATTAATACTTATCGTCAATTAGCTAAAGGAGAAACTGATATTAATATTCCTTATGGATGTTTCTTGAAAGACTATGTTAAATGTGATTGGTAATAGAAATAAATATTATTTTTTACAAGAAATTAGAGTTTGTCACTGTATATTTTGAGTAATTCATTCTACGTAAAATACAAATCAAGAAGAGAAAAAAAAAGTTGAGATTATAATAAGGAGAAAAAAAATTCACAAATAAATTTTGTCTACTATGACATTAAAATGCATGTAAGGAAATAAAAACATTAATTGTATTCAAAATACTTCTATCGATTCTTGTATATGAGAAGTTCGTTGAATTTTTGATTTATATCATTTTTAAAAAAGAAGAATTTGTGTAAGATCTATTTTTTTTGATAAACTAATATAGAGGAAAAAGAAAAGACAATGAGAAAAAGGAATAGATCGTTTAACTCTCTATGTATAAAAATGAGATTATTTTTTTGTTTTATATCAATTTATTTTCCACTCCATGCCATTATCACTTTGCTAAAACCAACAAATACACCTTTGTTTGGTTTACTAAATATATAAAATAAATATTCAAGTTTCGTTTTCATTCAATTTATATTCGTCTTACCATTGGAATAAACGTTGTCCTTGATAAACACCATCATGTTTACTTTCTAGAGTGAGATCTATTTTATGGAAAAAACAAACAAAGTAATATTTGATTCTTACCTTCATCTTCTAATTCTAACCCAAGGTAGTGATCACTTTTGTCTGGTATAGGGCCAATATATTTAACAGTACCTTTACTAATTTTACCACCTGGTCGAGAAAATTTAACTACATCACTGACGTGAATATCAGTAATAGATGATGGAGCATAAGGACGTTTTGGACTATGATTAGATAAATATGATTCTTGAATTTTATTAGTAAAATATCTTACCTAGCTGTTTCAATGCTTGCTCGACGATGACGACGATCTATATGAAAATAATATATCATAAGATAAAAAAGAAATTATTCTATATATACCATCATGTTGCATATCATCATCGTTATTCATATGTTTACTTGATACATTATAACTATTTGAACGACGTGAATGATGTTCAGATTCAGGTATTGTAACACTTCGGTTAAGACCATAATTTTGTTGATATAAATTCGGTGATGATGTTCCTAATGGTGAAGACATATAATCATTTCCTCTATCTGGTGAACGTTGTCGTTGTGAACGATGTTGATTATCATAATTACCAATATCTAACATATAACAATATCTACATAAAGAATAAATAATAATAAAAAATAGTAATTTACCTCGATGATGTGGCCCTAAACAAAAAAAGTAAAATAATTATTAAAAAGTACATGCATACAAATAGAAAGCGATCAGTGAAAAATTTGACTATTTGTGTAACTACATATATACAGACATATAGAGAGGAACAGTATCAGGTAGCAAAGAAATTATGAAGTTCTATTATGTATCTGTGAGGGTATGTTTAAGAAAGAGACAAAAGGTTTTCTTTACCGATGTATGGTACTAATGCGTATCTAAAGGTATCTGTGGGCAAAAAAAAACAAGATTTATTGATATTTTGTTTTGTTTTTGTTATTATCACATATAATGAGATTTATCTTGTACAAATGAAATAATTTTTATTTTGAATTTACCTTCACTTTGTTGAATGTTTTCTTCATTCCATTCAACAGATCGTTTCGGTTTTGCTGAACGAATATTTCCTTGTGGTTCAATTGATTTTGAGAATGAATTTGGATAAGTACGATTAAATTCTTCTTGTGTTGTTGTTGATGAACCATATTTGGATGTATTATGAGGTTGATGATAATTCGTATCAGATTTTATTGATCGATTTATTGCTGATGGGGGTCGATTATTATAACGATCAACACTAACTGTTGTTAGATAATTTGTTGAATCACTATTTTCGGACATATTTGGACTATCACTTCGGATAACTAAACAGAAAACAATAGAATCATCAGAGAAAATGCTAACATCTTTCTATTTGAACAAAAATCTGTAAACTGTTAGATTATTCTAGAAAACATATACATCAATTGTTACGCATAGATTGCGAAGCTGGCTCATTTGAGCAGCCAAGCATTTGTTTGAAACACTTACAATTATAGTTATGATTAGTCGTACCTATATATCTATTCCTATTTTATCTTAATTCATATTTGTTAGATTATTGTTGCTATCTTATAGGGTTAGATGTCTGCAAATAAAATCGAAGTTTCTCGAGATAAACTGCATACTTATACATCTAGTATTTCATTCTCAAATAGATTATCCTTGTGATTCAAGGGCAATACTTATTGTACATGTGTTTTCTTAATCTTCGTATGGCGACCACTTATACCCATGAATGTAAGCTTTTTTTAGATACTATCAAGTGTTCTTTATATGTCAAACATAAACACAAGAGTTTTTACTCGACTGGAACGATTTCTACATAAAATTTTGATACAGTAATATCTTAGATGATAGTTACTTTTTGACCGTTCACGTTTTGAATCTGTAGTAGGTCCTTTCAATGATGGTGAAGGTTGTATAGTATCATTATGTGATCCTTGTTGTTGTTGCTGTTGCTGTTGTGGATCATTTCCATATGCTTGTTGAAGTGTTGCACGCCAAGCAAGATTTTGTTGTTGTCTTTGTTGTCCATGTTGTAACCGACGATTTTCTTCAAATAATTCATCATTTCGTTGTTTAAGCATTCTAAAAATCAGACATATAAACTTAATTAACTTTTTTTCTTATCTAAGTATATACTTTAAGTCATTTCGAAGTGCATTAAATTCTTGATAAAGTAATTCATCATTCCGTTTTTTAGCTTCAGTGACCTAGAAAATGCAAAACAGAAAAAAGTAATAATTATTTTGAAGAAAATATTTCCTAACTAAAACTATGCATGCACTAATTGAAGCATATAAACCTGAGAGAATTTCTTTTTTCGAGAAAAAAAAGTATCTGATGCGAATGAAGGATCAAGAATAGAAAGAAGTATTGAGATATTTTTATGAATTTTCTATAGAAAATTTTTAATAAAATCAAACAATTATTTATTTCATATTTTCGAAAATAATATACTTTTAATTGTAATTCTTCATTTTCTTTTTTTAATTGAGCAATTGTTCGATCAGTTTGATGAAAATGTTGTTTTAATTTATCATTATCACTTGTTAATGCACGCATTTGTTTTTCATATGCTTCTGAAAAATAATCAAATAGAAAATATATATATATATATATTTATTTATCAAATAATAACAAACTTAGTTTCTTTTCTAATGCTTCTTTTTGATGTAATGTAACTTCATCAAGTTTACTTGTACGTGTAACCATTCCATTTTGATGTTGGGAACTTTGCATTTTAGCAACTAATTCTTGTTGAATACGTAATTCATTTTGTAAAACATCTTTTTCACGACGAAGTGCTTCTGTTTCAGTATTATTCTAGATTAAAAATATATTTTAATTAAAACAAAAAAACGATTATAATTTACAGTTGAATGACCATTTTGATATTGAACTGGTACTTTAGCTTTGAGTAGTTTATTTTCTAATTGTAATTCCTGAATTTCTTTCGTTAAATGCATTATATCAAGTTCTTTTTCTTGTAATTCACGTTGAAGGGTTGTACCATCGCAATCGAATGCAAGTAACTAAATAAGATAAAACAAAACGTTGAAATTTTATTCTGATTGATGAGATATTTTAGAGGATAAGTCTAATATTAAACTTACATCCATATTTCCAACGTTCATTTTATTATCATCATCATCCATTTTCATCATTGTTGATGTTGATGTTGTTTGTCCTTTAGTTAATATAGGAATTGAATGTTCTGAAGTATCTGATGATGCTCTATCATCATTTAATTGTGTTAATAATTTTCCATCATATAAATGTTTTAAAACCATATCAAGTTCTTTTCGTCGTTCATCATTATTTCTCATTGTTGATGATGAATTTGAACGTGGTAATGTTAAATTAAGACGATCACGTAATTCATCAGCTAATGTTGATGATTTTTCTGAATTATCATTTTGTTCGAGTTTAGATTTATTATTAAATAAAGTTGGAATATTTGAATAACTTGAATAATTTCTATTTGGTAAAGTTTTTACACCATCCATCATAAATGATGATATTGAATTTGGTATAGTTAATGATGATGATGATGGTGCTTCAACAATATCATCAATTAAATCATGACGCGTTGGACGACCTTCAATTTTTGTAGGCATTTCAAACTATCTAGAATAGAAATAATCGAATGAGAAAGAAACAACAGAAAAAGTCAATCAAAAAGAAATACACTTTTAAATATACCCGGAGAAATTGTTCATTGTTATGAATAAGTTCAGACTCAACTTAATATATTTTTCTTTATTTCTCTCTTTACTATTGAAAAGAAAAAGAGAGTTACAGAAAAGACGCAATTACGGACATATGCTATTTAAGTATTTTTTTCGTTGTAACCTATAAATGAAAAAAAAAAGAATAAGACAAATGAGAATTGAAGAAGCTCTATGACAATGACGAGAACAAAAATACTCTTGTCACATCAACTATCGTTCACCATTTATGCCTATAAAATTTCAACTTGAATGAAATTTATATGACAAAAAAAAGTTGCTTAGAAATTTTTTTTTCTTCTTTTATTCATTGTTCATGACTAAATGATTGATTTGACCCTTCATCATGAGTTCTTTCAATGTGATGAATGACAAAATTTCACTTACTTGACCAAGGCAGTTAGCGGCATTCTTTTTTTTCTCTTTCTCTTTTTACATACTTCCATTTCCATTCAAATATGTACCACGCAACCGACATCCGCCATTCTTTAAATATTCTCCTCGGTTTCTCCACTGGTTAGCAACAAAATATGATTAAAACTAATAGATGACGCTAGTTACCAATGATTATGTAAGAGCAAAAAATTCATTCAGTCAAAATAGTGAATCGAACAAGACGGCAATGTACGTGACGTACAATTTCCTTTTCCTATCATAAAAACTAATAAATATTCTAGTAATGTCATTGTATTTCTCTATGAATCTCGCTAGCAATTTGTTCTGAAAATTTTCAATTAATTCCGTAATAAAATGCCTTTGCAATTACACACAAAGAACATTCAACTCTTTTTTTTGTACTCTATAACATCCTAATGAAGAAAAAAAAGAGAACAGGTTTTACGCTATAAAGATAAGAATCGTAAATATATATATATATTCGGTAATTAATGAGTGCAACAAAATATATAAACTTAATGTTTTCGAAAGGCTACGAATGATAAAAATGAATTGTAACAATTATAGGTTAAAGTCTATTGGATGAAAAAAAACGAACTTTAAGTATGTACATATTTTTATCGTACGATTATCTGTTTAAATCATCAAATAGACTTTGTACCAAATGAATCTAAATAAAAAAGCATCGACTATTTGACTTCGCTTACTTTTCTTTCGAAAGATTATAAATATTCTCTTATCATATAAAGGTATTTTGTAGTATATGATAACATTGATAATTTTTTTTTTCTTAAATATATTTTGTTTTAAAACATAATCAATTTTATCTTATATAATAAATATGTTTTGTTTTTAAGTTTGTTTCGAAAATGAAAAAAAGAAAATCACGATTATGAAAGTCCAAAAAGAAAGAATGAACATTATAACAATCAAATATAGAAAGAGATTAATTTAGTTTTTTTTTTTAGGAAGACAATTAGTCAAAGTAAATATATATATAAATATATTGTAGAAATCAATACATGGCATTTTATTTGTTCAATTTCTTTTGTTTAACAATTAAAGCACGAATCTCATCATTTGTACAACATTGATCATATGGAAGACCGTCTGGACTTGTACCATTGACATCAGCACGCTACAATAAATAAACAAATTTTTCTAAGAATTATAGAGTTTATTATTCTAGATAGGAATTTTTTTTTTGAATTATGCTAGCAACTGCCCAATGAATAAGAAGATATGTTTCAAGTAATAATATTTTATATCGTTTTTTATACAATTCAGAACGAACCAAAAAGAAAAAAATACGTAAATAACGATAGCAACGAAGAAAATTGATAGTCTGAGTAGCGCATTGAAATAATGACAAACTTTGTTATTTTTTAAAATTTCATAATCAAACTAGTTCAAAAAAAACACTCATATATACGCACACACACAGAAAAAGAAAAATGCGCTCTCATATATTTACATACAAATAGTAATAATAATAATGATGATGATAATACCGAGATGGGAGAAGAAGAAGATGATGAATGAAAAAGAAAGAAAGGTGACTAGACACACCGAGAAAATCGAAACCAAATAACACGTATACTATCTACCAGTATAAAAGAAGACAGGAAAAGTTTATTTAACAAGTTTACATCCTAGTTGTTGTGCAGCTAAAGCAACACAAACACCATCACGACATGATTCACAACCGTGATGTTGTCCTTTTGGATTTCCAACACGACGATAATGATTTGATTTAATTGATGTTGTTACATTTGGATATTCATGTTCATTAACAATAACAAAGACATTTCTCATAACACGACATACTTCTTCTGGGTACCATAATGGTGTACATACATCATTACAACGATCACAGTTTTGTGTAAATAATTTGAAATAAAGTATATGAGATTTACAATCATAGAAAAATGATATTTGTCCACGCATTGATGTCCAACAATGTCCACATGAATCACATTCAAAACGTACTTTGGCTATTTCAACATCACATAATGCATCTGATGGTAATTTACATGTACCATCTATACTCATTGGCATTAATATCCAATGATCAGATGTAAAATAACGACCAAATGTTAATTGAAATTCAGCATGAAATACTAAACACATATCCGAACAAAATTCTTTTTTACTTTCATCAGTTAATGTGGATGCTAATTCATAATCATCTTCAGTACATGATGGAGTAGGTGATGTTCGCGATGATGTTGATAAAGATTCAGCAAAACCTGATTCATCATCGGTTGTTGTTGTACTTGAACGATGTTTAAATGTTAAATCATCTTTGGATAATAATTCTTCAACTTGTATACCATTATTTGCAGCAAGTTTTGTTGCAATATGATCAATTGAACAACTTGGACTTGATAATATATCAGCTTCACGAACCATTTTTATAATAAATTAAGATTAACTTAAATCGTACTCGTTGTCCTTTTGCTTTCTTGTATATGCAGCGGGTAGCGTCTTGTTTAAGAGAATGTTGCTTCGCCGCGCTTTTTATATAGTCGGGAGGGTTAAACCCTCGTTCGCTTTCCTTCTATTTTTTTCTTTTCTGTTGTGTTCCTTTGCTTCAGTCTTTCGCATGAGTCACATGCATATTAACAAACGTTGCTCGTGTCTACATAAACGTGAGCATTATATTTAAAGGCCATTGAGAACGCTTTTTTTATTCTCTTTCTTCGTTTGTTTGCGAATAGAAGAAGAATGCGTAAAAGAAAGAGAGAGAGAAAGAGAAAGAAAAGAAACGATCGTCTATTCGTCCGAGGAGAACATTTCTTCAAGTATAGTATATTTGCGGGCTAATGCTTCACATTCAACCGAATAACCTTCGGTATTTTTTACCAAAATAATCCTTTCAATAATTAGTACTAGATCAATTAGCGTATAGAATTTATTGACGAGTTCAACGAGCATATTTATTATTTCGTTTAATAATAATAAGTCAGGTTTGCTGATGAAATACCAATAAGAAAAACGCAAAAAAGAAAAAAAGACACACCCAAAAATAAATTCTATTTATAGACACAGCGTACTTTTTTTTGTTGCTTTCTCTCTCTTCTTTCTGTATTCATGACAGTTTTATTATTTACAACTGCGTCGTTCGAGCAATCATCAACAGAATCTATCTACCGTGGTAGACAACTTCTATAGAAAAACAACAAGAAAATGTAAAATAAATCGAAAACGTAGAAATAAATTATTCATAATAGACGATAGGTATAATTGACTTATTCTAATCAGAACAATAAAAAATAAAAATATATATTTATTGACGTCAGTAATAGGGAGTATTCAAGGTAAACAAAAACAAATTACGTACCTGTTCAAGGAGATATTTAACACAATTAGTATGATCTTCATAAATAGCAGCAAGAAGTGGTGTTAAACCAAATTTATCTTTACTCTAAATATATAAAAATATATAGTAAAAAAGAAGATTGAATCAAAAATTCTTTACATTAACATTGGCACCATTATTAACAAGTTCTTTTAATACATCAAAATTTCCTGCGTCAGCTGCATAATGTAATAATGATCGACCATTCATTTGTTCATTGACTTTCTCCGGATGCTAAACAAAAAAAAGAGAAAATTGATCAATTTATTTGAAAAATCTTTGATTATAATTTACTTCTTTAAGAAGTGTTTTTAATGATTGAAGTTCGCCTGTTTTAGCACACCAAATCATGCTTTCATTTGTACTTGCGGTTGACTCACTCATTGATAAAAATTATAAAATAGATAAATCAAAGATATCTGAAAATAAATATATTGATGTATCATGCTAGAGAATCTAATCATATAAAAATGTCTGAAAACGATAGTTTTATTTATTTGATATGAAATATAATCAATCAATGTTAGAAAAGATTATATTGAATGATTTAATGATATTTTCTTTTTTATATTTTATTTTAAGTTTTTATCTAATAAACAAAATATACGTTGTACTAATTAATCTTTTTTTCTGTTCGAGACAGTATTTTTTGTTTTGCACTTTGTACCACACGAACGAGATTGCACTTTCTTTACAATTTAGTAAAAAAAGAAACTAGGATGATTTATCATGCAAATATTTGCTGTGAAGGTAATACTGTGTAACCTGTAGAGAGATGAGAGACAAAAACATTGTAAACAAAAATATTTTTCTTCTATTGATCACTTCTATAAAAAAAACTTTTAAACATGTGAGTTTTAAATATAAAATAGTTGAAACTATTTTAAAACATGTTTGTCTAGCATACATAGAAAATGTGAATAAATTCAATAGAAAATGTTTTCGAAGGCAAATTTAAAAATCATATTCAGTTTTCAGAGGAGAAAATGTGACTGGAACTAATATTCGTTAATCTAATATTTACAATTAGTTATTGACGGAATATGAGTGAATTTCCTCTTTATATTTCTGTCGAAGGACTCGTAAGGATACAGTGCATGCTAATCTTCTATTTTAGTCTTTATTTCTTAGCTCATGACAGATTTCAATGAGTTCAAGAACAGCTTAAAAGTATTCGTGCTTCTAACATATCAGTGAAGAATTATGATTATTGCACTCTGAGTAAAATATTTATCGAAATATAAGACCAATGAGTCTTGTCTAAAATTGAATCTATTATTATTTTATAGAGAATTCGAAAAATGTAAAACAAAACAAACATATCTTTCTATGAATATTCGACTTTTCATAAACTTGACTATTGTGTCCTTTTATAGTGATTAACGATTAATTTTTTCTTTTCTTTTACGAATTGAATATCTTGAGATATAAATATTCATTTTCTTATTCATATTAAAATCTTATTGGAGCTAGAAACTGAAGTCGATAGTACAAAATCATTCTTATATTAGAAGATTTCTTCGAAAAAATCAAAACGAATGTCTATCATTTACCATACATAGTAATCTCCAGATTTGTCCTTACTTCATATTCTTATTTTTCCAAAATCGATTTTCAACATGATGCATGGAATTTTCATCAAACTTTCTACAGATGCTCGACCTATAAAGGTACAAGTGTAAAAATATCTTCATGGCTTTAGCTCTTTTCGATCGGAAAATATACAGGTATCAAGGGAAGCTTGTCTCATTTGAAAGAAAACTCCTTAGTACTTCAGATGAGGGAACGGATTTTTTTTCTTTTAGTGGGATCTACAAAACTTTGAAGTTCTGAAAACCTTCAATTGCTCATAGATTGAGAGTCAAATAAAAAATTCTTTCTCATCATCTGAAGAAGGATATATCTGTCTATCAAATTAAAAAAACATAGTTTAATAGAGTAAACTATAGTGAAGAAAAATTTGTTCAGGGATTGATATTTTGCAAAAAAACTCAGTTTTTGGAAAAACGATAAACAAGTCTTTTTTTGTGGATATTACTTGCAACCAACATAAAAATTTAAGAATTGAATGCGAATGGTACATACACGTCACAATGGATTTCACTATGATTATTGCGATATATCCCGCGATAGATGTTTTTGTTTTGAAATAAAATGAAAATATCAACTAGTCATTTTTCGGATCTATATAAGTAATAATAGTTCCAACTAACTTAAGGTTTTTTTACGAAAATCCCATAAAAAATTTAGAGATTCAATAATATCTTTGCGGATTTATAAAGAAGACACCTCAAACATCATGTCCATCTGTTTATCTCAAAATCCATTTTTTGGAGAGTGAGCATGCCTTAAAGATTTTATTCCATACATATCGTAATTCAATAACACCTTCTACCGTGTTGAAAACCCTTTAGCATTGGAAATATTGCAACGGAAACTGTGGTAAGAATAAGTAGGTTCTGACCACCAAGGTTATTAATTTTCAATAGGGAAATCAATAACTTTGATAATTAGAACGTATTTATCAGCACTACAATTTCCTCTAGTGTACTTGTTTTCAATGATAAGAAATTTGTCACACGATAGAAGATACCGGTACATTCTACTGTGTAAGGAATATTTCACATTTAGTTATGAGAAGTAATTATAACTGTAAAATTATCCATCAATGAGGATATGAAATGAGGTCAAAGTTTGGCATTACGATTTGGGATAAATGAAAATCAGCCAACAAAAACTAATTTAATGTAATATGTATAACTTACTCATTGTTCAAGGATTCTAATTATATTCGTCTAGAATTCTATTACGTCACAATTACATTGCTCCTATCAAGATAAAGTAAAAGAAGCTTATTATTTATTACAATTGTCTCAGTACGTATAAGAAAAAGTTCAGTAGACGAATGAATAGCAACAGTTTTTATGAAAATATTAAATCGAAAGCTATTGATAGAAAAAGAAAAGCCTTGGTTTTATTTGTTTCTATTAGACTAACTTAGATATAAAATTCTCAGACACCATAATTATATCTTAAAAGTAAAAACTTAAGTGATTTATAACGACTAAACTTTTTTTTCTAATATACATCTAACTATTCGCTATTCAAAAAAGTAATTATAGATCTCACTATTCATAATAAACCTCTCAGAAGTATGTCTATTATTATAGTCAAAACTGAACAGTATGAATCTAGGTTAAAATTAATTTCCGCTTGACTTGACCTTAATATGATCGCGTTTTTGACTTAATGAATTGTGAATAATCGCCTAAGGTCATCTATTAGAAAAAAATAAGTCAAGTCAAGCATGACTTACTTAAAATTCATTCAATTTTAAAATTAGTTAAAGATACAGACACTTTTGAGTTTTAAAATTTGAATTCATTATCAAAATTTACTAATTGATGTGATACAGTGTATCATACAAAAGAATTTTGTTTATTTCGAGTGTAATAAAATCAATCTTTTACGTTATTAAAAGGTAATTTCTATTGCTTAATCTCGAAAAGTAGATAAAGTCAAGACTTAATCATAAAAATAAATCTAAAATTCTTTACGAAACCCACTCTATATAATCTTATTATATGCGACTAATAAAAATTATTTGCTTCGGTACTTTCTTTTGAAATGTGTAAGATTCTTATCGTTAATAAATTCCTAAAAATATAACAAATAAAATGTATACTTGTTTGTTGCCAATAATATTAACATAATTGAAATTTGTCAAAGTCATGTGATACTATTTCCTTTACAGAATATTAATCAAACAATGAGTCATCTAAAAAATTTGATATGTTATTACTAAATCAACGAAAATATAAGCCAAAAAAAAGATATGGATATAAAGATATTTTATTTGTCGATACACATAGTTTTAACCAATGAAAAAATATTATCAAGATTTATAACGCCATCTAGCGAAAATATTTTTTCTGAGAAAAAATTTAATTATATAATTTATAAAAGGAAATTTAATTTTTTTAAATTCAATTATCAATTGATTTAAGATGATCGTCGATGATTGGTCAGTTTAGAAAATAAACAAATTTAT